CATTCTACCATAGACCCCTTACTACGCATGTTCGTAATGCCTTTGCAAATAACCACTCAGTTATTGCCATATTTTTTGACCTTGAGAAGGCATATGACACAACTTGGAGGTATAATATTTTGGCCCAAGCCCACTCCTTAGGCCTCTGAGGCAATCTACCATACTTCCTTAAGAACTTTTTAACTGATAGACATTTCCGTGTTCGGGTTAATAATGTGCTCTCCCCTTTGTGGCTTAGCGCTTTCATAATAATAATATAAAATGAGACCAGGAAAACTAGAATACAACAATAAATACCATACGAAAATACAGTGCAAAGTTGTTGTTTTAATCCAAAAACACGGTCGAAGTTTTTTCTCATTATGCACTTTGTGCTGCAGGGTTTTTTTTATACTGCCCACATAGACCTATTCTTTCATATGTAGGCCTAACAGCTTTCTCTCGCTAGATTTGAGGGCGCTAGAATTTAGGTGTACTAGTACGTCAAAAACCCTGGTGTGTAAGCCGTACTAATATGTTCGAAACCCTGAAAGGGTTAATATGAGGCCAAACTTGTTAATGTGTATGGTAGAATGACTATGCTGAGGAAGTCTTCATATTTATGATCTTTGAGCATTATAAAACTAGAGCTAAATATTGTCTACCATGTATGTTACTTCCTAAATAGGACTGATGTAGGTTCAGTGAATTTTTTTATCTTCTAAACTAATTGATGTGAATCTTCTTCTGTTTTGCTGACATGATTATAATGTGCTTATCTAATTTTCCATTGATGTAATGACTTCAGTATATATAACTGATGTAATAACATCATTTGTGATAGGTGATAATATTATTATAATCATAACTAAGCACTAAGGTATGTGATAATTGATATGAGATGCTGTTCATTATTTTCTTTGGATAAGAGAAAAATGTGTTATTAATAAGTTAATGTATGCACTGCTTTACTTTTTGAGTTATTATAAAGTTATATGTTCATGAATATGTCTAGCATCTAATTCTATACCATGTAGCAGAATCCCTTATTGAAAAAAATTTTGTACTTTCAAGTGATTTGTTGTCCAGGAGCTTCATGAATTCTGCATGTTAGCTTTTTCCTTGTAAATATATTTATATTCGTGGGGAGGGGAGGGCTAAACCTTTAAGGATCATATAGTGTCTTGGGAAATAGCAGGGATTTAGATTTGATTAAGGGATGGGGAGCACAGTTCCAATTCCTTAAATCAAGAGCCCCTTCACCAGAATCAAGGAACCTCCCTTCAGGGGTGCATTTTATAATAATCCTTATAATGAAAGGTGCCAAAATAAGGCTTGCTGATCTACAAATGTCAATTTGATACCAGCAGCCCCTCAAGAATGGTTCCTTGATCTAAGGAATTGGACCTGTGCACCAATTCATTGAATAATCTGAATGCCTTCCATTCCCCCAGGTGCTATATGACTTCCTGTGAGTTTAGCTCTTTCTCATGAGTGTAATAATGATTCCTGGCAGCAGTATGACCTTGCACATTAGGCTCTTGTTACGAGACTTGGCAAGGTATTCTTTTGACGCTAGTGTTTATTATACATTGACCAGTTGAGTAGTGCCAGCACTTTGGTGGTGTTGCTACTACAACATTGTAGGTGGGAGCATAAGCCACCTGTTTATCCACCTTGAGTTACCTTGTCATTTAAAATTTTATTAAGATGTGCAACAGTTAGGTAACTTTATTCTGAAGTTTTTTGCCTACACAGTAGGCTTCTGCAGGCAAAATGTTTTGGAATAAGTTACCCAACTGTTGCACATGTAACTTGTCAGTATTGTATACCATTATCATAATCAATATTTTAGTCTTGATTTGTAAATAACTCATTGATTCATTGGTAAAGGGAAACAGATGACTAAAATTGTGGAAAATTTTGATATGTCAGTTTAAATTTTACACTAAAGCTAGCCTAGCACCCTAATCTTGCAAAAAAAAAAAAATTCTAACATAGGATAACATGTGGTTCAATCCCCAGTACAGATGAAAACACTGGGCGTATTTCCTTAAACTGTCCAAACGTACATCTACGTTTTTTCAACATTTGAAAGTATGTAAAAAAATGTAGATCTTCTTTTTGTTTTTTTTACATTTGAAAACATGTAAAAAAAGTGATCTGCATTTTTTTTTTGTTATATATATTTGAAAATATGTAAAAAAAAACGTAGATTTACTTTTGGAGCACTACACATGTGACTATAGATCTGTTTGGACAGTTTAAGGGTTAATACACCTGGTATCCCTGTCCACCTAACAGCAAATAGGTACCTAGGTGTTGGCCGACTTGTGGGTCACATCCTGAGGCTTTGAAATGAACTAGGGTAGGATAGCTCAGTCTGTAAAAAAAAAAAAGAAAAATTAACCTCTTTCAGTCTGTATAACGTCTGATTTTGGAGCGAATTTACAGGTAGCACCTATTTATATATACAAAGATATGTCTGTATACAGTTTGTATACCAAGAGAAATATAAAAACATATGCAGTTTAATGTGATCCTTTATTGACAACGTTTTGCCCTTACAGTGAGCTTTTTCAAGTCAAACAGATCTACCTGGGGTGGAAGGTACGCGAGTATTTAAAGTCAGGTTCAGAATGTTGAGGTCAGGTGGAGAATGCTGCATCTACTGAGTGGGGTTATAGAGTCTAGAATCTTAGGGAGATTGGATAAGTTTGTGAGCAGATCTTCTGCAGTGTTCTTCCATTCCTATGTTCTTATGTGGGATAGCGATGAAGAAGTTTCTTGGCAAGTGGTTCAGCTATGTTATAGAAGCCATTGTCCTGGTTGAAATTGTTGGTTATAGAGATAAGCGATGATTCCAGGATTCTCGGTATTGGGTGTTGTCTTATCAATCACCAGAGAAGACAATACCGAAGAATCCTGGAATCATCGCTTATCTCTATAACCAACAATTTCAACCAGGACAATGGCTTCTATAACATAGCTGAACCACTTGCCAAGAAACTTCTTCATCGCTATCCCACATAAGAACATAGGAATGGAAGAACACTGCAGAAGGTCTGCTCACAAACTTATCTAATCTCCCTAAGATTCTAGACTCTATAACCCCACTCGGTAGATCATCAGATGCAGCATTCTCCACCTGACTATAAATACTAGCGTACCTTCCACCCCAGGTAGATCTGTTTGTGACTTGAAAAAGCCCACTGTGTGGGCGAAACGTTGTCAATAAAGGATGACAATAAACTGCATGTGTATTTATATTTCCATTGTGTCGGTATTTTATACCATTCATTTCCACTATATACCAAGAGCTGAGAGGGATGTAGAGTATACAATGAGAGCAACAGGTATGCACAAGGTTTTGTTGCTGATTGAAAACCTTATCTGAAATAGTTTAGTTTTTGTGATGAGTCAGTGCCTGATTTTGGTGGTGTGTGCCACATGTAGTAATGTGCAGCTTCGGTATCGAGTGTATACAGAAGCCATAGTACAGCTAGGTCTCGATTAGTTCGAATAATGAATCCCACGAAGTGGTCACATCATTGAGATTCACACTAATTTCTGTGCAGAGTTTGGAGAACCAGCATTAATTCACACCTGGATACATTATGTGACATCATTACTTATTCTATCAACAATTTCACCTATCTTAACTTTTGCTGCATTAACTAGAAATTACTTCAAAGTTAATAATTGGTCAAGGAAATAATGAAATTACCAGTAGTAGTATCTAAAGCATTTTCTATACTTGTCAGTTTTCTTCTGTGTATCATCATAAATGTTTATTTGTACACTAGCAGTAACCCTTGTGGTTTAGTGCATCTTTTTGATTAAAGTGCACTAGTGGTAATATGGAGTACAAATTATCATTAGTACTCCATATCGTAAAACATAAATAGTTGACTAATAGGGAAAGGGGGGATTGTCCAACCGTTAAATAATTGTGGAAAACATTAAAGAATTTTATACACAGTTTAAAGATTTTTTTTAAACATTTGGCTATGTCCTACCAAGGCAAGGTGATATAAAAAAAGGAACACTTGTCATCATTCACATTATCAGTCTTTGTAGATATGAGTGTAGCTGTCACTCTAAATAGTAAATATCCCAAACCCCTCCTTTAAAATATATACACTTAACTTCCCACCTCAAGGATTCAAACCCATTTCCTAAACCTTTATAAAGGAAAGGGGACTTGCCAACCAGTTAATAATTGTGCAAAACATAAAACATTTTTACACTAGATTTAAAATTTTTGTAACATTGCTTGTCCTACCAAGGCACCGTGAAAAAAAAGAACACTTGTCATCATCCCACATATCATCTTTGTATGGATGAGCTGCACCTAAAAGTAAATATTCCCAAACCCTCTTAAAAGGAATATAAAGTACTTTCCCACTCAAGGATTCAAATCCAGTGTTTCAAGATCCTTTATAAAATATTACCATGCTACAGTTCATCAAATCCAAAACCATTCATTCATATATCTAACACTGGAGATGCCTGCTGTATGCTAAGCCCCTTGAAAAAAAAATCTCTTTACCCTTCATCCTTTCCTAGGATGACTCCAAGACATAAATAATTACTGAAAAGAAAGAATTAAATGTATCAATTTATTATGATTTCAAGATTTGTATAATTTACATGTTTAATACCATATCTGTGCTTATTATGATTACACTGTTCCCTTGTGGCTTAACACTTTTTTGATTATAATATATTAGTTATGATTATTTTGGAGTGACTATATACAATTCAAAAATGTCTTTATTATAGAGTAAGTATCAACCCATCAATAATATGAAACTTTCCTCATATTATTAGAATAATATTGAACTTAAATCAATTGATACTAGGGTAAGACACCGATATATGGCATGCCTTGATATTATAGTCAAAGTTCATAAATCAAGAATTGAAGCTACCTTCTCCTTTGAATTATATTATTATAACCATACACAAAACTAAATCTAAAACTCAACTTATGAATATATTAACTAGAATCAGTCTGTATAGCCCTTGTGGCTTAGCGCTTCTTTTTGATTGTAATAATAATACTGAGATCAGTCAGTAAATTTCAAACTTATTTAAAAAGTCTGCACCTGCTGTATAAACAAATATTTTATACTTCTAATGAATATATGAACAATGTGTTCCACTTCAGCTATAGAAGATCCATACAATTATATTACAGCTATATTAATAATCTGCTGTTTGAAGCTGATATATTTTGGGACCTTTCTTTAATAAATATCCCTGATGGTTCAGATTTGCAATAAAGTCTCCAAAGTCTGCAACCTGAATGTTTGCCTGCCGTGCTAACTGCTTCATCTCATCAGTGTTGTACAATGACTTGTAAGTCTTCTCCGACATCCTTTGAAGAACTGCCACAAACTTTTTCATCTATAAAATATGGATACATTAATTCTCTACAATAGTAATAACTCCTTTGATTTTAAAAGTTTTCATCCAATGAAATAGAGGTACTCTTCCCTGCCTCGGATCAAACCAGATTCTCTAAGAGCTATCGATTCAATGCTTCCCCTCTAATATAATACAATTAAATAATTTTTTTTACACACACTTGTGCCATCTCCCAACAAGGGTGTAAAAGAGAAAAAATAAATCTATTATACCCTTCAAGGAGAGTACGTACCTTCATACTCTTGATCTGATTAACTGAAGCTACTGTCCTTTGAATCAAACCTGATTACATCCCAGTCCCCAAATGTTGTATGACCACTATGGGTTGACCTCTTCTCCATGAATATAAAACACCTGGGTATCTTTATTCTACCAACCAGTGAGATTATCAGTTCAGTAGAGGTTAAACCATAGAACGGCTGGGGTTTGAATCCAAAGCTACCGAGTCATAATACTTCAGGCCACTGGCCTGGAGTTTTACGACTCGCTCACCATGGGTTCACTCCCTTCATTTTATGGTTTGCTTGGAATCGTGTTAGTACGATTTCATGAGTCAATAGAGGTTGTTTGAAGGTGGTGAAAGAAGATAATTTCAATACCTTCAAATAACCTGTAGTGAATTGATAAAGCCAGTGCTTAGAAAAACATCTACAGGTCCCCCTCAACATTCACGTTTTCAGCTTTCGCAGGCTTCACACATTCGCGAATTCCCAGCCGCCAAATCATGTTCAAGTTTCCCGCCACCTGCGAGTCCCTACTACCCTCCCTCCGATCCCCGCAACTGGCAGCCAGCCCTCCCACCACTCGGTGTGGTGAGTGTTTTGTTTGTTCATTATTTGCTATTAAACTACAGTATAAATAATGTAAACCCATTCATGACTGCATATTGGAATGGCTATTCGGACAGGTATTGGACGGTGACATCATGTGTTTACTCTTGAACACAGCAAAGAATCAAACATTTCTGCTACTGCTAGTAATAATAATAATAAATACGATATAATTGAAGAAGGAAGTTGTACAAAAATACGAGGGAGTGGTTGACACATGGTCAGTGTGGCTTTGTTTATGCTGGAGTGAGCATTAGTCTCCCTGCTCTTCCAAACATTTCACAATAATTCATTGTGTTTGGTGCTTGTAGATTGAGTGCGACTGGAGTGGATGAGGTAGCTGTTGAGGCAGTGGTATTTAATAACATACATGTTATTAATAATAATAATACATTTTATTAATTATATGTACTATTATTATTTATAACATATATGTTATTAAATTCAACTGCTGAATTATTGTGAAATGTTTGGAAGAGCAGGGAGACTAATGTTCACTCCAGCATAAACAAAGCCACACTGACCATGTGTCAACTACTCCCTCATATTTTTGTACAATTTCCTTCTTCAATTATATCGTATTGTTGTTATTATTAGCAGTAGGAGAAATGTTTGATTCTTTGCTGTGTTCAAGAGTAAACACATGATGTCACCGTCCAATACCTGTCCGAATAGCCATTCCAATATGTAGTCATGAATGGGTTTACATTATTTATACTGTAGTTTAATAGCAAATAATGAACAAACAAAACACTCGCCACACCGAATGGTGGGAGGGCTGGCTGCCAGTTGCGGGGATCGGAGGGAGGGTAGTAGGGACTCGCAGTGGTGGAGTCTGTGGTATTTAATAACATACATGTTATTAAAGCATAACATGTATATATTTAGTACAATTTACGACGTTTTCATGTATTTTATGATTGTTCATGGTTCAACAAGTTAAGGAAGCAGTATTGTATTATGTTTCCCTACAATATATTGGGGCACCAAACATTCGCGAGGCTCTTGATCCCCTAACCCTCACGAATGTTGAGGGAGACCTGTATATAATAAAGATAGCCAGATGTTGCACATGTGTCTTATCAACTTGTTGGCATTATATAATATTACCACTGCCAATAATAGTACTATAAAGGAATAAATTTTTTTAATGAAATGGAAAAGCAAAATAGATTAATTTACATTGCAGAAAATCTATTGACAGTTTGTCATGAAAGACTCGTCTAGAAACTCCATAGTAGTAATAGGTTTGTAGACAGCAATCGCCAAGTGAGTGTAAAATGGTAGCCTGTAATTGTTTTACATGATGGTAGGATTCCTGGTGTATTTTTTCTGTCTCATAAACTGACAAGGCTTCAGGTGTCTTGCTACCTCTACTTCTTACACTTGCATATATATACATATCCCTCTGGGTTTCTTACAGTTCTTGTTCATTTCCTCTTATCTCCATGGGGAAGTGGAACAGAATTCTTCCTCCATAAGCCATGCATGTCGTAAAAGGCAGCTAACATGCCGAGAGCAAGGGGCTAGTAACCCCTTTCCCTGTATACATTACTGAAGTTAAAAAGAGAAACTTGTTTTTCTTTTTGGGCCAGTTTGTTCAATGAAGAAATTTTCAATTTTACCCTTTCACTGTTGCAACCTCCAAAATTAAAAGTGCTGACAATGTGGTGAGAGAATATTTTCCTGAAGATGATGCGAAATTTGTTGGAACGTTTAAGGAATTATGCAGATGCAAACTTGGTGGTGTAGCTACAATTTACACACTGATTTCACCCACTTGACTTCTATTTTAAGTCAATTCTTATGATCAAATGATAGCTATTTAGTAGTATGACTCCCATTCTATCAACTGAGCACAAGAAACCATCCTTTCAAGTATCAGAACTGCCTTATAGCATACACAGAAGTTGCTAATTTTGCACATAAAAAAAAATACAACTTACTGAGCCTAAAATAAACACTAGGCATTCCTACCACTAAAGTAACCTTTCCTCTGTTCATTAATCATGTCCTTAGGCCTCTCCTATATAACACCTACCCCTGCATTTTAATAATGACTGGTCATCCTAATAACAAAAACAGATCAGGGAAGCCCTACTTTTCCTCAGGAAATTCACAAAAAAATATAAAATATTTCCACAATTTTGATCCTTATTTCAATCCACTTCTCGTCTGAAACTGCTCAAAATAATCTGTCTTCATTTCTTTCAGTACCAAGCAACAGCCATTTAGAAAAAACATCAAACTTGTTGTGTATTTTAAACTGGACACAAGGGCTTTCCCCATTAAGCACTGCATTGGGCAGGATTTTTTATACTCTGTGCACTCTCCTCACAGACCCATTCTCTCATGTCTACACCAAAATTTATTCTTCTTTCAACAAACCAGCCATATCCCACAGAGGCACGGTAGCCCAAAAAGAAAAACAAAAGTTTCTCTTTTTAACTTTAGTACAGGAGAAGGGGTTAGTAGCCCCTTGCTCCCGGCATTCTAGCTGCCTCTTACAACACGCATGGATTACGGAGGAAGAATTCTGTTCCACTTCCCCATGGAGATAAGAGGAAATAAACAAGAACTAGTAAGAAAATAGAAGTAATCCCAGAGGGGTGCAAATATATATACTTGTAGAAGTAGTAAGACATACCTGAAATCTTGCATGTCTATGAGACAGACTCCGATCATCATGTAAAACAATTACAGGCTTTCATTTTACACTCACTTGGCAGGACAGTAGTACCTCCCTGGGCAGTTGCTGTCTACCAACCTACTACCTAGGCAAAATTTATTGATGCTAGCATATTTGTCAGAGCTGTACTTAGTGTAGATCTACGCAAGTGACAGCAGCATCAATGACATAGATCTACGAACAGTAAAAAGATTAAACAGAGAGTGATGTGAGGGAAACTGTCAACTTTGGAATTCTATAAGAATTGTTGCTTGCTTTGATAGCATTTATATAAATGATGTGCTAGAAAGAAAAAACTATATGAACATGTCTGTGGATACAAAAACTCTACATGAAAACAAAATGATGAATTGGAGTGATGAATGAATTACAGACTACTGTACACAAGTACAGTAGCAGTTGAAGAGTAATCTGATCATAATATCAACAACTGAATGAATGATGGTGAATATGGTTTCTAGAATTCATCATGGACAAAAAAATTGTCAAGAGAACATCACACAGTATTTCAAACACTACTTCAAAATGGGGTAAAACATCTACCTACAATAAATGGTTTAAGAGAAGGTGCTATAGAGTATTCATTTCCTTTACAATGGCATTTATAAATATATTAAACCATGATGACATCACAGAGCCCTGTCTAAAGCCTATTTTTTACTGAGAAACAGTTCCCTCTCTCCCCTACATAGCCGCACTATATGCATAAAAACTTTTTACTGCCTACATCAGCAGTTTCAGACCTACATTTTTTCACTAAATTATGCCTTCTTCCCAACCTCTAGCAGATTCTCTTTACTAAGCAAAACTAATTATCACACCTGCCATAGCTCCTTTCTTACATTAAAGCCACTCAGGAAAAAGGATCAGTTTCTTCCTTACAGCACACTGATGAAGGCTTTAGTTCTGATAGCAGAGCCTACGCTACGCCAAAGTTTTCCTGTGTTTAACACACAGACCTGAGACTAGTTTTGAGGGCTTGCCTACCAATAGCTGAACATGAAGCCAGATGTTCTTGTTGACTGTTTGGTCAACCAGATTACTGCTGCTGGCTGCTTGCAGGCCAACATAGCTAGTACAACTTGCCTAATAGGCATCTGCTTATATAAACAGAGGTGGATAACAAAAGATATGCTGAGAACCAGTATTATGCTTACAAGTGCCATAGGATACATTTTTTTTTTTATGGAGCAACCTATTTCTTACCTGTCCTCTATTACTAGATCCTGAACCATGTTGTGATCTCTGGAAATCAAGAAGCCCAAACTCATCAGAAAAGGTGTCCATCATCGAAAATCTCATGACCTCCACAACATCTCGAGCATCATCTTCAGTGGCCTCTTCACGAAGCACACAACGGGCTCGTGCCTGAGGAGATTATAGCATGTAAAACGTTCCTTCATAATAATGTATGCACTTTACAGGTACTTTTAGCATAATGAATGAGATCCTAACTGATACCTTAACTTACAATTTTGATGTACAGTAGTTATGGTGATACTGTACTAGGCATTGTGAAATGCTGATCATTTACTGCAGGTTGTAGTGAGGTACACCAAGTCCTGTACATACTTATGTTCATTCACTAACTTTCTCCTACACAAACTAGGGGCAGGGGAAGACTACAAAATGAACTTGATACTGGTAATATACATCATGCTAGAAATATAATATATAGCTGCATTATAATATCTTCTAAAGAAGAAAAATGTTAATTAACTCTATAAAATGGCTCCCCGATTTTAAGATGTAAAATTCTGAACACTGAAATTACTTCAGTGGTACACATGACAAAAAATATAACCTTAAAGAATATGAGAGCATAAATAAAGTAGACTTCCGAAGCATCAGAACATGAAGTCACAATTATAAAATATAACAAAAAAGCTGTACTGAAAAGATACTATAAATTATTTCTACACAAACAGTGAAAGTCTACAAGTATGTGATGCAACTACTGTAAATATTAAAACCAGTACTGTATATGACAAACTTAACAGTGAAGATGGGATACTGTACATAACTTTGATCCTATGGCTATAAACAGGTAATCTCTAACATTTACAAAATTTCTCCATGGGGAAGTGGAAAAGAATTTGTCCTCTGTAAACCATGCATATCATAAGAGGTGACTAAAATACCAGAATTACTTAATGTGTGAAGATGATAAACTTTATAGTTTTTTTCTTTCAGGGGTCACCCTGCCTAGGTGGGAGGTGCCTGATATGTTTGAAAAAAAAAAAATACAAGATTACAATACACAAGGTCATATGAAATGTGATGTACCTTGTTTGTAAGTGTAGATGTGTGTAACCTGGCATGTTTGTAAGTTGACTACTTACTGGACACGAAGTTCTAGTGTGGATGATACAAAATATTCACATAAAATTTCAAACCTATGATGAACAAAGATTACACACCTCTGTTAGTCTAATGAGAGATTCCAACTGTCTTGTTGTAATAGGCGTTGAGCTGTTATTCTGGTGATGCTGCCGAAGGTCAAGATAAAACTGTTGAAGTATCTTTGCTGCTCCAGGAGTGAGCCGTGGTCTGACATACTTCCGTGAATAACAAATATACTTTCGCATGAGCTGATGTGGTATAGGGTCAAATGGTTCATCACTACGGTACTTGAGACGCTCACTGAAAAATACAAGAGAGTGTTCTTAATTCTGTACGTCGTTTCATCTGCATTTCCAGTACAGTTCTGTACATCAATGTGCAATTTTTAATTTTTATTTACTGTATCAGGTAGCATACAACATATAATACATACAAATAAATACCTGTACCATATTAAAGAACTTAGAGTGGTGCCCTGACCCATTCAACAGCAATCTCCTAATAAACACAAACTGCTGATGGCTACTTATTTGTAGCTGCAGGAGCAGAGCCAAGCTCGTGGTACTCGTCTTCAATACTTAGCTATGGCAAACACGAGGAAATTAAATCGTCATCAGAGTACAAAACAAATTCTGGCCACAAAATAGAGCGAAACACCAACGTCAAAGACCTGGGAGTGATCATGTCGGAGGATCTCACCTTCAAGGACCATAACATTGTATCAATTGCATCTGCTAGAAAAATGGCACGATGGATAATGAGAACCTTCAAAACTAGGGATGCCAAGCCCATGATGACACTCTTCAGGTCACTTCTTTTATCTAGGCTGGAATATTGCTGCACACTAACAGCACCTTTCAAGGCAGGTGAAACTGCTGACCTAGAAAATGTACAGAGAACCTTCACGGCGCGCATAACGGAGATAAAACACCTCAATTACTGGGAGCGCTTGAGGTTCCTAAACCTGTATTCCCTGGAATGCAGGCGGGAGAGATACATGATTATATACACCTGGAAAATCCTAGAAGGACTAGTACCAAACTTGCACACGAAAATCACTCACTACGAAAGCAAAAGACTTGGCAGACGATGCAACATCCCCCCAATGAAAAGCAGGGGTGTTACTAGCACGTTAAGAGACCATACAATAAGTGTCAGGGGCCCGAGACTGTTCAACTGCCTCCCAGCATACATAAGGGGGATTACCAACAGACCCCTGGCAGTCTTCAAGCTGGCACTGGACAAGCACCTAAAGTCGGTTCCTGACCAGCCAGGCTGTGGCTCGTACGTTGGTTTATGTGCAGCCAAGAGTAAACAGCCTGGTTGATCAGGCTCTGATCCACCAGTTGATGGTGCATGCTTCTTTCAGACTACCTGCACTTTGAGAACATACAGTGGACCCTCAGCTAACGATATTAATCCGTTCCTGAAAGCTCATCGTTAGCTGAATTATTTTTCCCCATAAGAAATAATGGAAATCAAATTAATCCATGCAAGACACCCCAAAGTATGAAAAAAACAATTTTTTTACCACATGAAATATTAATTTTAATACACACAAACTGACACTTACCTTTATTGAAGATCTGGTGATGATTGATGGGATGGGAGGAGGGGAGAGTGTGGAAGTTGTTAATGTTTAGAAGGGGAATCCCCTTCCATTAGGACTTGAGGTATCAAGTCCTTTTCCGGGGTTACTTCCCTTCTTCTTTTAATGCCACTAGGGCCAGCTTGTGAGTCACTGGACCTCTGTCGCATAACATATCTGTCCATAGAGGCCTGTACCTCCCGTTCCTTTATGATTTGTGTAAAGTGGTTCACAACATTGTCATTGTAATAGTCACCAGCACGGCTTGCAATACCTGTGTGAGGGTGATTTTCATCCATAAAGGTTTGCACTTCAACCCACATTTCCTTAATCTCTTTATTCATATCCATAGTAATTCTCATCCTTTTTCCTGCAGGGTTGGCACTAGCTTTCTTGGGGCCCATGGTGACTTATTTTGCAGGTACAATCACTAAAAACGCTGTGATAATATGAAATGTTCCGATTTTATGCATGGATGCGACCACACTGGCTGGCTTGTAAACACTGGTGCGCTCAGGCCACACATGGATGTGTCTCGAACGAATCGCGTATCGTGAGTTTTTTAGCGTTAGCCGAGGCAAAATTTTTGCGTTAAAATGTATTGTTAGCTCGATTTAACGTTAGGTGATGCCATCGTTAGCTGAGGGTCCACTGTACAGAAATTCACAACCCATAATGCTGAAATAAAATTAAACAATGTCTCAGTTCCTCTTGAACCATTATCAAGATGAGTGAGAAATAAGGAGAAAGCCAGAATTAAGGCAAGTGCTTTGGAAGTGGAGACAATGAAGGTCAAGTAATATGTCTGAAGTTCACAACACTTGATATTATAACAGGAACAGCAAGCTTCAATGGAAAAAAAGCCATAGCAAAGATTCATGTTACAGCTGTTGTGTATAAGGTCATGTTCAATCTGTCAATATATACCAAAAAATTTAAAGCTTCACTTCCTTGCAGCCCTGAAGAACAATGAAGTAAAGAGCATATCTACACAAATACAGTGGACCCCCAGTTTACGATATTAATTCATTCCAGAAGTATGTTCAGGTGCCATTACTGAAAGAATTTGTTCCCATAAGGAATATTGTGAATTAGATTAGTCCATTTCAGACCCACAAACGCACTTACATAATTGGTCACATTGGGAGCTGATCGTAAACCGGGGGTCCACTGCAGTGGTAAACAGCTGGAATGAGATTCAGGAGGAATGCAGTATGTGCTACAATATCTGGAAATATTAACTCGTGTAACAAACTGAAGATGGGGCACAATGAGCATACTTCTGCTTCTGAAACTACAAATATGTAAATAAAAAATAAGTAATCTATTTCTCACAGCTAACCCATATTTTGACAACATTTTGGTTCCTCTTTTACCACATCAAATCATAACTTGATAATGGTCAGGTATGGACTAAATGACAATGTAATGTTACTTCTTCAATTTGTGTTAGTTGTCTTTAAGCTACAGTGCTGTGACTTATTACCCTCTCTCTTTCTCTCTCACACACATATTGCACTAAATATTTATTACCTCAAAGGTTTTTCTTCATCAATAATACTCGAGTTTAAGAGGTCTTGTCTCCTGACTTTCAATGGAAGCACTTTACCAGTCTTTCCTCTAGTGCCACTGTGTAGTGCCATCACATGTTCAGATAAGAGACAGTCCAATTCCTATGTGAGAAGGCAAAAAACAACTCGATGTGGATTACATTAAGACTTATGATCTACCTTAGCATACTTCACAAGGATTTGACAGAACAAAAATACAAATGCTGTTCTAACCATCACCACCTTTCCTCCCTTCCTTCTCCCCATTACTCCCTATGTCTTTACTACCCACCAGCACTACCAAGGGCATCCTAGCACCGCCACATATTAATATTATGTTAAATACTCACATTCTTAAAATACTTGAAGCTCCTAAATATGAAATAGTCCCATTTAAATGATTATAGTTGCTGAATTATATTAAAAAAGAAGTGCTAAGATATGGAGGTCATTTCACAAAGACTCTAGAGCCACTTAAGATACAATGCTAAGCATAAAAATACTTTTTAATATTAATCAGCAAATTAGGTCTTTAAGCCTAAATCTACTGATATCAATGCACTCACAAAACAAGTGGTTTTGAAGAAAATAACAATACTGTGACCAGCTGGGTATCGAATTTGGTGGCACAGTGGACTAAGGTGTCGAGAAATCTAGGTATTTCCCAGGAGGTGGCTAAATATCTTAGGTTCAATCCCTGGCTAGTCACAGTATTATTTGATCCACTGATATGTAATATAACTTTCAAATATTACTCAATCAGTTAAGTCTTAAAATATACAGTCCAGTCATTTAAGTAGTACTGATCTTGAGGTATATTTCCTGACATTCCTTAAACCTAAACCAATTTTTCTACTAAATGCAACAAATTCTCATTTTTAAAGTTGATGTTCCTGTAGAAAACTATTTCTTTCAACGCATCGGCGGGGTGTTCATCCCACCGAGGCAGGGTGGCCCAAAAGGAAAAACGAAAGTTTCTCCTTTTACATTTAGTAATACTATATACAGGAGAAGGGGTTACTAGCCCCTTGCTCCCGGCATTTTAGTCGCCTCTTACAACACGCATGGCTTACGGAGGAAGAATTCTGTTCCACTTCCCCATGGATATAGAGGAAATAAACAAGAACTAGTAAGAAAATAGAAGAAAACCCAGAGGGGTGTATACATGTATGTATGGTGTGACCTAAGTAGAAGTAACAAGACGTACCTGAAATCTTGCATGTTTATGAGACAGAAAAAAGACACCAGCAATCCTACCATCATGTAAAACAATTACAGGCTTTCGTTTTACACTCACTTGGCAGGACGATAGTACCTCCCTGGGCGGCTGCTGTCTACCAACCTACTACCTAGAAGTAAACTATTTCACATTTTAGTATTGTGGAAAAATGCAATGAATTGTTGGTGCATTTTTATTACTGCATTATTAACAAACTCTACGCTCCCTGGTGAAAGTGGAGTTCGAGCACAACCAAGTCTGGGAGCTGGAGAGTCACTTCAGGAAATTAAAGAACTGCCTCCCATGATCCTTGTGGATTCACAAAATGGTGAAAGGAAATGTATCTGGACAGAGACAAAGTCTGTGAATGACAGGTATATTGTAGGCACAATATAAGGTCCTAAATATTAGGAAAAGATGCCAGCAAACCTCAAATGGAGAGAGGACATATCAATTCTGAAGACCAGACAGGAAGATATGGAGCAAGATCAAGCTAAATTAGATCATTCACAGGAATGAAGAATGCAGCAATGACATGAAAAAGAAGGGCTCAGGAAACCATCCCTCAGAGTTAACAGATGAAAACCAGTCTGCAGGCTAGCAGCACCTACATAGAATGCAGACCTTCAATATCTTTGAAGAGGATGACATGATCACTGTACTTTTGCAGAATTGCCACCAACTTAACACTCCTGTTGTGAGATGGAAGGTTGGGGACCTGTGGCCAGGCCCCAGAGTGATACTCAAAGAGGGTCACGAGACTAGAGAAAAACAAGAAGCCAAAAGAAATGGCTACAGAAGAGTCCAAAGGTACAGAGGAAGGACCTCCCTAAGAGGGGCCAGCAGGGAAATCCTCCAGTAGAAGAATCAGTGTCTGCTGTGAACACTCAACAAGGTGCACTTATGCTACAAGTCCTGTGAGTAGGGAATATTAAATGGGTGTTACGCTCAGAAAGTTGCAGAGAACAAGTCAAATGTAGATACTTAAGATATCTCTAAAGCTAGCTCAGTGTGTGAGATACATTTAGTCAACAGAAAATTAATCTCTCATGAAAGTTTAATTGTTGATATTACAAAATCAGTGATGATTCAGCTTGGTTTGGCATGGGCTCTACTTGCAGTTTGTGGCACCACAACATCATTATAATGACTGGTGAGGACAAACAAGGCTGGCATTGGGTGAACGCAAATGAGGCTGGCATGGGCACTAATAGAACATACCAGGATTAGGTGAGGTAAACATAATGTAGGTTTATGGTCTCACAACAAAATAAAAGGAAAACATTCAGTATTATAAAAACCAAACTGAATTTGCTATTCATAAAAAGAGTCAAATTGGGGAGGAGTATGGAAGAAGTGAATGTTTTCAGATACTTGGGAGTTGACGTGTCGGCGGATGGATTTATGAAGGATGAGGTTAATCATAGAATTGATGAGGGAAAAAAGGTGAGTGGTGCGTTGAGGTATATGTGAAGTCAAAAAACGTTATCTATGGAGGCAAAGAAGGGAATGTATGAAAGTATAGTAGTACCAACACTCTTATATGGGTGTGAAGCTTGGGTGGTAAATGCAGCAGCAAGGAGACGGTTGGAGGCAGTGGAGATGTCCTGTTTAAGGGCAATGTGTGGTGTAAATATTATGCAGAAAATTCGGAGTGTGGAAATTAGGAAAAGGTGTGGAGTTAAAAAAAGTATTAGTCAGAGGGCAGAAGAGGGGTTGTTGAGGTGGTTTGGTCATTTAGAGAGAATGGATCAAAGTAGAATGACATGGAAAGCATATAAATCTATAGGGGAAGGAAGGCGGGGTAGGGGTCGTCCTCGAAAGGGTTGGAGAGAGGGGGTAAAGGAGGTTTTGTGGGCAAGGGGCTTGGACTAACAGCAAGCGTGCGTGAGCGTGTTAGATAGGAGTGAATGGAGACGAATGGTACTTGGGACCTGACGATCTGTTGGAGTGTGAGCAGGGTAATATTTAGTGAAAGGATTCAGGAAAACCGGTTATTTTCATATAGTCGGACTTGAGTCCTGGAAATGGGAAGTACAACGCCTGCACTTTAAAGGAGGGGTTTGGGATATTGGCAGTTTGGAGGGATATGTTGTGTATCTTTATATGTGTATGCTTCTAAACTGTTGTATTCTGAGCATCTCTGCAAAAACAGTGATAATGTGTGAGTGTGTTGAATGATGATGAAAGTATTTTCTTTTTGGGGATTTTCTTTCTTTTTTGGGTCACCCTGCCTCGGTGGGAGATGGCCAACTTGTTGAAAAAAAAAAAAAAAAAGAGTCAAACTTTAACAACTTTCAATATGAATAAATTTTACCTCATCAGGTTTATCCAAAAGTATGAAGACTAAATCAAATCTTGAGAGAAGAGCACTGTTCATCTTGAGATTCTCTGAGACTGTCTTGGCTTTGTTATAGTGACCTCCCACAGGGTTGGCAGCAGCAAGTATGGAGGTTCTGGCTGGAAGTGAACACACAATTCCTGCCTTGGCTATACTAATGCTCTGCTGCTCCATGGCTTCTAGCAGTGCCTAAAATAAAACAATGTGCACCTCTTAATAAAGATTCAACATTTACATACTTGTAAGTTATGAATGAAAAATGTGGCCAACACAAAGTATATCATAAATAGAGTACTGTAATAAAAGAAATAACAGAGACTGGCTTTATTTTTACTATTATTAACCCTTTGAGGGTTTTCGTCGTACTAGTACGTCTTACGCGTAGGGGTTTTTGACGTACTAGTACTCATAAATTCTAGCGGCCTCAAATCTAGTGGGAGAAAGCTGGTAGGCCTTCATATGAAAGAATGGGTCTATGTGGTCAGTGTGCACAGTCTAAAAAAAATCCTGCAGCACACAGTGCATAATGAGAAAAAAAAAACTTTGACCATTTTTTTTTAATAAATCACGATTTTTGCAGTGTATTTTCGTATGGTATTTATTGTTGTATTCTAGTTTTCTTGGTCTCATTTTATAGAATGGAAGACATATTACAGAAATTGAGATGATTTTGACTGGTTTTACAAAGAAAGGTGCCTTGAAATTGAGCTCAAAGTAGCAGAAATGTTCGATTTTTTACCAAACTTCAAAAGTAAACAAATCGTGCCAAGCGTGCAATACACGTCAACTGGTGAGTCTAATATTCTTTCACAAGTGCACCAATAATATTTATACCATTTTTTTACACTAATGCAGTAGTCTGCATAACATAAAAACTTATATATTTTGTGAAAATAAAAATTCAAAGTGGAAAGCAAAAGAATATAAGAGGGGCCTTGAGACATGACTAATGACTAAAGGAAATGTCATTTTAGTGCCAGGAATGTCTTTCTTGTTTATTCTGGAAACCCCATTCGGAAATTGGCATCTTTTGAAATTTGTGTGAAATTGGCAAAATTGCTAAATTCTGACCACTGTACTGGATAGTTGGATTTCATAAATGAGTGGTTTCTTGCACCCATTCGATAGAAAAAATGGAGTTCTAGCAAAATATTCATGTTTTTTGTCGACTAGTACAGTGAAATTGGCCGAAAATGGGGCTCAAAGTGGGCAAAATCGCCGATGCGTAAACATCGCCGAGACCGCTAACTTTGCGAGAGCATAATTCCGTAAGTTTTCTATCAAATTTCAAACTTTTGGTGTCTTTATGATCGGGAAAAGATTCTCTATCTTTTCATAAGAGAAAATAATTTTTTTTTTTTTAAATTTGGCCGACCCTGAGAACGAGTTTCGGAGAGGGCCTGTCGACCCTCAAAGGGTTAAGTGTGCAGTATTACTAAATGAAAGATGAAAATTGAATTTTTGAAGGGCACAAAAACTGCACAAGTACTCTAACTGAAAAAATTACCACTGCTACTTGAAGCTTTGTGTGTGTGAATGAGACCTTTTTAAATGTAAATACTTAACTGAAGAGAAAATTTAACAATATCTCGGATAACATTTTTTTATTATTATCTGGAGAACTTTGGTACAAGGAGTTTTACTGTATGCAACTTTCACAACCCAGTGACAAACTTTTTGCTTCTCTGGTATTTAAAAGCTTTTTAAAATATTCCTTTCACTATTTACCTAACTCTCCTAGAGTTAACAATGATATGGTTTGTTTGCAATCGTGTCATTACGATTTCGTGAGTCAGATATATTATCAATATTTGTGACAATGATTCACAGTCTCGTGCCTTTATTACCACCTTCATACATTCCTTTATTCTCCTTAAACTGGGCACTCAGATTTTGACTATGTTTATGAATTCACAGTTTTTAATTGTTGTTCACTCTAGAACTTCAATAATTCTTATAACTGTCTCAAACATTAATCCCCTGTCTTATTATAAACCTTGCAAATATATTTGTTTTTTCAACACACCGGCTACATCTCACCAAGGCAGATACATGTACATGCAAATAGATGTTATACATATTACCAATGGTTACTAAAAGTGTAGTAACCGGTTTCCCTGAATCCCTTCACTAAATATTACCCTGCTCACACTCCAACAGATCGTCAGGTCCCAAATACCATTCACTCCTATTGAACATGCTCATGCACGCCTGCTGGAAGTCCAAGCCCCTCGCCCACAAAACCTCCCTTACCCCTTCCTTCCAACCTTTTCGAGGACGACCCCTACCCCCGCCTTCCTTCCCCTACAGATTTATACGCTCTCCATGTCATTCTACTTTGATCCATTCTCTCTAAATGACCAAACCACCTCAACAAGCCCTCTGACTAATACTTTTATTAACTCCACACCTTCTCCGAATTTTCTGCATAATATTTACACCACACATTATTATTATAGTTTACTGGGTGGCAACAGATGGTGCATGTAGTGTGTGATGACTTATACTGTTTATACTGCGGTAATTGGTGGTGATCCCTTAATTCTGTGTGATTCTTAGAATATTTTGTTAACAATTAACCCTAGCTAAAGCTATGGTTAATAACTATAAAAGTCACTTGTCAATAGCTATGGATATCAACAAGTTAATTGAGTTGTCAAGTGAATTAATCAAAGAGCTAAAACAGCATTCTTTTGTGACAAAACAAGACCTAATGAATTTTTATTTGATGCATGAAAAATTGCACAGGGAAAGAACAAAGCACATGACACACCTTCACTTAGTAAAAATATTTAAAAAGTTAGCCATGAATAATGTGTCATAGCAGTAGGCCTACACCTGAAAATCCTGTGCCTTCAGCTTAAAGTACCCCAGATGTCTTCCCTGTAACACCACAAATCCACTATGAAACAGAGTAATCCTGATAACCCTCAACTTCCAGACCTTTGGATTAGCTCTACAGTTTCATTAAAATTCTACAATTTACAACATTGGGAGTGGTAGTACACAACATTCTTTGTAAATACAGTAATTAATAAACCTGTTTCATTTATACTAATGTTTAATTTAAATTTTCAGCAGCCCATGGTGAATTTAAAGGTGTATTGTTGAATTATTATGTGACCTCTGTTCACATCCAGCAAAATCAATATACTAGCAAGATGTTGGAGCCAGAAAATCAGTGTTGTACCTGTATAGGAGATAAATATTGGAGTTTATAAGGAAAACTGTATCCTGCAAATAGTGAGCTAAATGCAGGAAACAAGAGTCACAGAAGTAAAAAAAAAAGTCACCTTTACAAGTATCTACCAATCCAACCAGCTGAATCTCCATTCAAGCAACCAATTGTCATTAATATATCCACCATTTATGGCAAAAGAGATGTGGAGTTCTTAGGCAGGCACCCTGTAGGATGAGGGGTGGCACTCCTCCCAGAAAAGAGGCCTCTACCACTAGGCACAAACCACTCAAACCCCACCACCATGTTAAAGTGACCCAGTGTCAAGGAAAATAAAAAGAAAGGTGCAGACCAAGTGATACTATAAGTCAATGAAATGTTTAATAACAAAGTTCCTGATGGAATTTGACACTTCAAAAGCATCAAGACTCAATTAAATATCACGGATATTACCAGAAGCTGGTGTCCTGTGTAAGCCATTTGTGCAGATCTTTAACTTACAATTAATCAGTGAACTGCCTACAAATTAGGAAATGTAACACTAACATTAAAAAAGGAAGAGGCATTAGGCTCTAAATTGCAGACCAGTGTTCATAATGAGAGTACCATGCAAAGTATAGTTCATCTCTTAAATATGTACAAGCTAAGTTCCTAAAGATCCTCATCCAGTCATAATTTACAAATATATACTACTAAATTCTGTCTTTATAATGTTTTATTTCTCATGTGTTTCAGAGGCCATGTCTCAAAAACGTTACTTTTACCTCATTAATACTGACATTGAAAAGAATGTCCAGAAAAAGGAGAGAAATTTGGGAGTGGGAAATTCTATGGTGGTTTTCAATTAACAGCATATGTACCTAGGCAAAACAAAATAGGCTCCACAAAAATAGTGACTGATCAAAGTTATTCATGGAGCTCTCTCTCTAAATCATAGGCTAACCAAAGCACACAAATTTGGGGTCACTTGTAGTGAAAAAGACTGCAAGAAAAGATTAGTACAGTACCTAAAAACATAAAATTATGCACAGAATACCAATGTGGCTTCAGGAATAGGGAAACATCATGTCTTACAAACCACATTCAGACATACATTACTACTCAAAAAAAAAAAAAAAAAAGCAACAGAAATGATTGCCTTTTTTAATGTATCAATGAACAGAGTTCAAATTATTCTCTTACCTACCTGATGCTGATTGCTCATTTTATCAAATTCATCAATGCAACACGCTCCCTGGTCAGCCAAAACCAGGGCACCTCCCTCTAGGGCGTAATCTCCTGAGCCTCCTTCCCGACAAAGAGTCACTGTCAAGCCAGATGTTGTGGTTGTGTTTCCACAAACATACACTCCTAAAAAAAGGAAAATTAATATCTTGTAAAATCAAGTGTAGGTCATTTGTGTATTGTTCCATTCACGATATTGTCCTTTTTTTTGTTGTTTATGAATACAGTGGACCCCCGGTTAACAAACTTTTTTCATTCCAGTAGTATGTTCAGGTGCCAGTACTGACCGAATTTTTTCCCATAAGGAATACTGTGAAGTAGATTAGTCCATTTCAGACCCCCAAACATACACGTACAAACGCACTTACATAAATACACTTACATAATTGGTCGCATTTGGAGGTGATCGTTAAGCGGGGTTCCACTGTATATTTAATGTAGGAAGTCTGAATAAATGAACAATGGGTATAATAAAAACCACTGGATTCTCAAAATTCTGTAAAGCGAAGCACTGTAAAGCAGGGGCTGCCTGTACTCTCTTCCTTCAAGTGCTGAATAAACCGTATACTATAGTATTTTTTGCTGCTTCATTATTTGTCCTTTTAAGATACTGTACTAAATTAACAAGGAATAAGTATACTGTCTGCTTTAAAATGCTTACAACTGCTGGTGGATCAGTGATTAGAAGGTAGCTTTAATCTTTTGAATAAAAAGCCCTTCACTGGCACTGAGGCTCCACTTTTAACCCTTTCAGGGTTTCGGCCGTACTAGTACGGCTTACACACCAGGGATTTTGACGTACTAGTACATCTAAATTCTAGCGCCCTCAAATCTAGCGAGAGAAAGCTGGTAGGCCTACATATGAAAGAATGGGTCTATGTGGTCAGTGTGCACAGTATGAAAAAAATCCTGCAGCACACAGTGTGTAATGGAAAAAAAAAAAACTTTGACCGTGTTTTTGGATTAAAACAGCGACTTTGCACTGTATTTTCGTATGGTATTTATTGTTGTATTCTAGTTTTCCTGGTCTCATTCTATAGAATGGAAGACATATTACAGAAATTAAGATGATTTTGACTGATTTTACAATGAAAAGTACCTTGAAATTGAGCTCAAAGCAGCAGAAATGTTCGATTTTTACCAAAGTTCAAAAGTAAACAAATCATGCTAAGCGTCCAGTACACATCAACTGGCGAGTCTAATATTCTTTCACAAGTGCGCTGATATTATTTATACCATTTTTTACACTAATACAGTAGTCTGCATAACAGTAAATCTTCTATTTTTTGTGAGAATAAAAATTCAAAGTGGAAAGTAAAAGAATGTAAGAGGGGCACTGGGACGTGACTAATGAACAGAGGAAATGTTATTTTAGTGACAGGAATGTCTTTCTTGTTTATTCTGGACCCTATTTGGAAATTGGCATCTTTTGAAATTTGCGTGAAATTGGCAAAATTGCTAAATTCTGACCACTGTATTGGATAGTTGAAATTGGTAAATGGGTGGTTTCTTGCACTCATTCAATAGAAAAAATGGAGTTCTAGCGAAATATTCATGATTTCTGTCGACTAGTACAGTGGAATTGGCCGAAAATAGGGCTCAAAGTGGGCAAAATCGCCAATGCATAAACATCGTCAAGACCGCTAACTTCGCGAGAGCATAATTCCGTAAGTCTTCCATCAAATTTCATACTTTTGGTGTCATTATGATTGGGAAAAGATTATCTATCTTTTCATAATTTTTTTTTTTTTTTTAAATTTGGGTGACTCTGAGAGGGCCTGTCCACCCTGAAAGGGTTAAAAAGAACTAAGAGTTATTATAAATCTCTTACAACAGGAGTTATACTCAGTGATGAGAGAAAATATAACAGAGGGGAAATTTTAACATCAGAATGCTGGTCACAGCATTTTACACTAATCTGAATCCTGTTTAGTACATGGATTTAGGAAAAAGTGGGTTAATATAATTTAAATTAATAGTTATCATTCTACGTGTGGCAGTGGCATATTATTTTTATCTAGCAGAGAGAGACTGTAGATCCAATGCTACATATTCAAGGGATAGATTATCAAGTGACAAATGCTCCTGTTGGACAAGATTCAAGTTTGGATGCCTACTACACCAGTATACAAATAACCCGCGCATAGGAGAATGAAACTTATGATGACATTTCAGTCTGACTTGGACTATTAACTACTTACTTGACTAGTTAATAGTCCAAGTCAGACCAAAACATCCTCGTAAGTTTCATTCTCTTATCTGCAGATTATTTGTGTATTGTTCCAGTCACAGTATTGTGCCCTTTTAATTCTTAACTACACCAGGATTAAATTCAGAGACATAAATAACAAAAATGAAGAGACTAATTTTATAAGAAGAATTTTCGTAGACCTAGGTAGTAGGTTGGTAGACAGCAACCGCCCAGGGAGGTACTACTGTCCTGCCAAGTGAGTGTAAAACGAAAGCCTGTAATTGTTCTACATGATGGTAGGATTGCTGGTGTCCATTTTTTGTCTCATAAACATGCAAGGTTTCAGGTACGTCTTGCTACTTCTACTTACACTTAGGTCACACTACACATGCATGTACAAGCATATATATATATACACACCCCTCTGGGTTTTCTTCTATTTTCTTACTAGTTCTTGTTCTTGTTTATTTCCTCTTATCTCCATGGGGAAGTGGGACAGAATTCTTCCTCCGTAAGCTATGCGTGTTGTAAGAGGCGGCTAAAATGTCAGGAGCAAGGGGCTAGTAACCCCTTCTCCTGTATAAATTACTAAATTTAAAAAGAGAAACTTTTGTTTTTCTTTTTGGGCCACCCTGCCTTGGTGGGATACGGCCGGTTTGTTAAAAAAAAAAAAAAAAAATCGTAGAGTAAGAAATGCTTCTTATGAATACACTGCACTGCCACCAAAGAGACAGTAACACATTCACCAGCACTCAGTCATTAATATATAGTTATGTCTTGCCAGAAGTGCACAGACAGCATAATTCAAATGAATATCTAAACCACTATATCTCCACCCAACTTTCAGAATGCAGGGACTGTACTTCCCACTCTCAGAACTCATACTATATTAACAGACACATATTAAAATATGAAAGAAAACATGTGTTTCATTTAATGTGCAGTTACTAATACAATATTTAACCTTTTTTACTTTGCAAAAATAAAAAAAAATGAAGGAAAGTCTAGAAAAACAGAAAACATTTCAAGACACAAGTCATCTTACCTCTAGGTGCAATATTAGCACAAGCTTGTAGCATCTGACTCTTTCCTAACCCTGGATCTCCTACTACAAGGATGTGAGGATCACCTCGTACAGACACACGATCGTGACCACTCTTGGTACATCCACCAAAAAGGCAGAGAATCAAGCCAGCTTTAACAAGTTCATGCCCATATATTGCTGGGCACAGGGATCCTACCAGTAATTTGAAGAGATTAGGTTCTGCTTGGATCTCCTGGAATTGCAAACGTAAAGTAAGTAACAGTTTTGTACAAAAGTATAATAGTCTCACAAAATCGTAATAACACAATTAGTATAATACAGTATGTATTGTGTTGGTAGTAAAAGTACTACAGTATAAGAGCATTTAATACAGTGGACCCCTGGTTAACGATATTTTTTCACTCCAGAAGTATGTTCAGGTGCCAGTACTGACCGAATTTGTTCCCATAAGGAATATTGTGAAGTAGATTAGTCCATTTCAGACCCCCAAACATACACGTACAAACGCACTTACATAATTGGTCGCATTCGGAGGTGATCGTTATGCGGGGGTCCACTGTATATTAATAGTAACAGTAATACAAGAGGTCCTCAGACAAATAAATTATGTTCATGCTTTTTCAACCTACAAGCGAATTGTTTGTATAGATAACAATACTACAAAGGATGGTTATGTTCATACTGCAGTTCAGCACTTTTAGAACCTAAGCTGGTTTTGTTTTAACATACAGACGTGTGTAGCTTGGAAATTTTTTAAGTTGCAGTTCTCCTATATAGAATCCCATTATAATAGTATTATTTAGTAGTATCATGTGAATATTAGTGTTGCAGGCAGGCCCCACTTATACAGCAGGTTAGGTTCTGGGCTACTGCCATAAACCAAAAAATCACCGAAAAGTAAACACAGCCCTTTTTTACTTTCAAATGTCTGCACCATTATATATAAGTGTGCAATAGAGCTAGGCCTGGAAAAAAAGATACAAAAGTAAAATGAATGTACACAACACACATTACTTACTTTAGAATATTTTTGGCCAACACACAAATGAATAAAAAAAATATTAGAAAAAATATAAACAATGATTTTTTTTTTTTTCAACATGCTGGCCATCTCCCACTGAGGCATGGTGACCTAAAAAAATAAACACTTTCACCATCATTCACACATAATCACTGTCTTTGCAGAGGCACTCAGATGCAACAGTTTAGATGTCACTCCAAACAGCCAATATCCCAAACTCCTCCTTCAAAGTTACAAGCATGGTACTTCCCACCTCCAGGGCTCAAGTCCGGCTAACCGGTTTCCCTGAATCCCTTCACAAAATATTACCCTGCTCACACTCCAACAGCTCGTCAGGTCCCAAAAGCCATTTGTCTCCATTCACTCCTATCTAACATACTCACATCCCCTCAAGGGAGGTTCCTTGATGCTGGTGAGGGGCTCTTGATCTATGAATTGGATCTGTGCTCCAGTTCTCTGAATTAAGCCTGAATACCTTCCATCCCCCCCACAGGCACTGTATAATCCTACAGGCTTAGTGCTTCCCCAAGATTATAATAAATAATAATAACATGCTCACGCATGCCTGCTGCATATCCAAGTCCCTTGCACACAAAACCTATTTTACCCCCTCCCTCCATCCTTTCTTAGGATGACCCCCTACCCCTCCTCCACTGCACTATAGATTTGTACATCCTCCAAGTCATTGTATTTTGCTCCAGCTTCTCAGAATGACCAAACCACCTCAACAATGAAATATGCAGTATATATTACAAGGGCAATACATAAGTAAAGTAGATCAGCAAGAAATACTACAATGTAAGAGAAGAAAATAATAATAGAGAAGTATGCCTGTACAGGAAGGCCCAGCTTATACAGTAGGTTAGATTTCAGGCTACCACTGTAAAGTGAATCATAGCCTTCTTTCACTTTCAAATGTATATAAAAGTCTCAAACATGTTTACACTATCATATATTAAGTGAGCAATAGAGCTAGGCCTAAAAAATGCATATACAGTACACATATTACTTATATTAAAATATTTTCGTCCTTAGCTTATAGCGAGTTGTGAATATATTTATTGTAGGAAGCCTGACTAAATGAAGAATGGGTATAATTGAAAATTGCTGCACGAGTAAAGCTCTGTAAAGTGAAGCACTCTATTACAAACACACGTGTAGTATGGCCTGCGCACCTAGTCATAATGGGATCAAAGTGGAGCACCCAAAACTCAACAATGGTGTTTGACTTTTCCTTCACCAAATAGACAAACTGGTATTTACAATATGTACACTATTTACAGTAATGTAAGAGTAAGTGTACAACATGGTGAACAAAGGGGGCAAAATGCAAGAGCCAGAGAATGCACCATGTTCGACCAGCAGCCCAGTCAAGTCTGCCAATGCTCACTTCACAAGCAAACCACACTGCTTCACAGCTTTGGCAGGCTTGTCTGTGACTGGACCATACCCCCGGCCGGGATTGAACCCGCGGTCATAGAGTCTCAAAACTCCAGCCCGTCGCGCTAGCCACTAGACCAGCTAGCCACAATAAGATTCATCCAACTAGGTATATTTCTACACCATAGGAAAGTTAGCACAGGCACCTCTGTGACCACAAATGCAAGTTTTTACAGACGAATCTCCAGCTAGCGTGGCCGTGACGAACTCTAGCTCAAGTCCCATCACTGCCGTCAACATGACTTAAGAAATCGTAATGACACGATTGCAAATAAACCATACCCCCGGCCGGATTGAACCCGCGGTCATAGAGTCTCAAAACTCCAGCCCGTCGCGCTAGCCACTAGACCAGCTAGCCACAATAAGATTCATCCAACTAGGTATATTTCTACACCATAGGAAAGTTAGCACCGGCACCTCTGTGACGGCTAGCTGGTCTAGTGGCTAGCGCGACGGGCTGGAGTTTTGAGACTCTATGACCGCGGGTTCAATACCGGCAGGGGTATGGTTTATTTGCAGTCGTGTCATTACGATTTCTTAAGTCATGTTGACGGCAGTGAAGGGACTTGAGCTAGAGTTCGTCACGGCCACGCTAGCTGGAGATTCGTCTGTAAAAACTTGCATTTGTGGTCACAGAGGTGCCTGTGCTAACTTTCCTATGGTGTAGAAATATACCTAGTTGGATGAATCTTATTGTGGCTAGCTGGTCTAGTGGCTAGCGCGACGGGCTGGAGTTTTGAGACTCTATGACCGCGGGTTCAATCCCGGCCGGGGGTATGGTTTATTTGCAATCGTGTCATTACGATTTCTTAAGTCTTGTCTGTGACTGGCCAATGAACCAAGGTACTGATATAAAAACAGGGCCCCTATTAATCGTTAAATCCTTAGCACCTGGTTCGCTGGTCAGGAGGAGGCCTATATGAAAGTGTGACATACGGCAAATAAAATATAACATACTTGGAGCATGCCACGCACTGTAAAGTGGGGCTGCCTGTATTTTCCCTATCAGCAATGCTTTAGTGAGCAACTGAAACCAATTCAACTGATACCTGGCTCTTAATTTATAATTCCTAAGATTATTAAATGTCTCATACTTTAACATCTCAATGTAATGCTGATCAAGGACACAATGCTATGGTAATTTTAATTTGGATAACAATAGTCTTGATAATGATCTTTAATGGTTACTAAATGAAGATATTAAAAATCATAAGTATTGCATTACTGAATGAAAATTAAGTGATCTAAAGTAAATCAACTTAGCTTAGCTTTAATACTTCTAATAATATTCACTAGGAGCACCTTACCTGAATAGCATAATAATCCTTAATGCTGAACTCAATGCCAACTGCTGATGCAGAATCATTGCCACCCTTGCAGTTAGTGACTGATGAAGCATCTATATATAACTGAAACATGCACTTGTCACCTTTGTTTCCTCGACCCTCTTGACTCTGGCTTACCTGAATAACGTAAGAAAATTAAATTTATCAATCATATATATTTATTTTGTAGGTAGTAGGCTGGTAGACAGCAACTGCCCAGGGAGGTACTACCATCCTGCCAAGTGAGTGTAATTGTTTTACATGATGGTGTAACTGTTTTACATGATGGTAGGATTCCTGGTTTCTTTTTTGTCTCATAAATATACAAGATTTCAGTTAGTCTTGTTACTTCTAAGAACATAAGAACATAAGAAAGGAGGAACACTGCAGCAGGCCTATTGGCCCATACTAGGCAGGTCCTTTACAATTTATCCCACTAACAAACATTTGACCAACCCAATTTTCAATGCCACCCAAGAAACAAGCTCCGATGTGCAAGTCCCTCTCAAATCCAACCCCTCCCACTCATGTACTTATCCAACCTAAATTTGAAAATACCCAAAGTCCTAGCCTCAATACCAACTGGTAGACTGTTCCACTCATCAACACCTATTTCCAAACCAATACTTTCCTATGTCCTTTTCTAATCAAAAACTTATATAATTTAAACCCAAATTTACTGCGGGTTCTCCCCTTGGAAGTATCCTCAAGCCTTGTTAATATCCCCTTTATTAATCCCTATTTTCCACTTATACATTTCGATCAGGTCTCCCCTCATCTTCGTCCTAACAATGAATGTAACTTAAGATCTTCAATCTTTCTTCAAAAGGGAAAGATTTCTAATGCTTGTATTAATTTAAGTCATCCTACGCTGAATGTTTTCTAACGAATTTATGTCCATTCTGTAATATGGAGACCAGAATTGAGCTGCATAATCTAGGTGAGGCCTTACTAATGATGTATAAAGCTGCAGTATGACCTCTGGACTTCTGTTGCTTACACTTCTTGATATAAATCCCAGTAATCTATTTGCCTTATTACGTACGCTTAGGCATTGCAAACGTACTTACACTTAGGTTACACTACGCATACATATACACACCCCTTTGGGTTTTCTTCTATTTTCCTACTAGTTCTTGTGTATATCCTCTTATCTCCATGGGGAAGTGGAACAGAATTCTTCCTCTGTAAGCCATGCATGTTGTAAGAGGCAACTAACATGCTGGGAGCAAGGGGCTAGTAACCCCTTCTCCTGTATACATTACTAAAGTTAAAAAGAGGAACTTTCTTTTTTCTTTTTTGGCCACCTGCCTTGGTGGCATATAGCTGGTGTGTTGAAAGAAGAAGAAAAATTATTTCCCTTACAAAACTAAAATTTGTCAACCATCTACATTTCCTCTTACAACAAATTAAGCTGTATCAAGTACTGTTAACCTCTAATTTTTATGGCATCTTGAACTTGTATGGAGAGTAAAGAGAACAAATTAATTTTAATTGCTAAACTATTCATGCATTCAATATAATATTTGCAGATCTGAGGCCCCCATTTTGTTAATTCTTTCTCATGGACCTTCCAATGAACAAATCTTGAATCCCCTCCAAATACCATAAAAAACTTCATTCTCCTTGAATATGGTGGCACTGACTAACCTTCATGGCATTCACCTTATTCTCTTAATGTTAATACTCTCTGCTTGCTGCTCAAAACTCATTCCTCTCACATGAACTGCTTCCCGAAGCCCTTGGGTTTAAAACATTACTTGTGTTAAATGCTAGCTGGAAAGGGGATCCAAGAAATTGAGTTACCAACCCTTCCTTGGCTCAAACTTTATTAACCCCTACTTTCCAAGGCACCTGTATGATTTTTTACGGTTTAGAGGTTCCATATGATAATAAGAGCAATAATAGTACTGGAGGGAAAATTTTCAAAGAAAACTGAACACATGCAGATATCACTGCTTAGCAATCAGGTTTCACCATAAATTTTGGTTTTGGTACAATAGAATTTTTTGCATTTTTTGTTTACTATGTAATAAGGGTAATCAGCACCTGGCCATGACCAGTTTGTGATAACCTTTTCTTTGGGCTCTGCAATTCTGGGTACATATTGACGAGAATTTGAATTGAAGTATTTAAACACATGTAAAGAGTACTCTCTCACATGCTCATCCAAATAAGACCTTGACCACTGATATATTGTAGAAGTTGTGACATGAAACCAGTCAACTGTCAGGTATAAGGGCATAAATTGAAGAAAAACTGCAAAAAAAAAAAATTGCAGTGACATACTTGACAAACACCCAATGCAAATATCGTACTTATGCATGAGTATCCTTGTTGCACTCAAGTGCCACTTGCAACTAAGCATGGCTTCACTGTGTACATCTTAAGTAAAAGATAAGTAGAACATTATAAACTCATGAACAAATCTGTCTACATCAAATACAAATACAAATAATTAATTTCTTTTCTGCAGTATACAGATAATGTAGTTTCATGCAATAAAATATTGTTAGGCACAAAAGAAAGCCACTAGCATGTGGTGCATTACAGGCAGTTAACATTGTGCTCACCAGCACTCAAACCTAGCAATGGTACCATTAGAGAGATGTCACTTATAAAGTTCTCAACCTAGTCTGGTATCTGAAGTTAGTTCTGGGACAATTTTCTTCCCCCAGCTTGGACTCTTTTTCTGGTTCAGTTATCTTACTTATGGCAGATCTTACTCTCAAAGATTGTGGGACTTATGCCAAAATTGCTATCTTTTTGCACAGAAAAGAAGGCAGCATTTTCAATATGTATACAAAACATTTCTAACTTATAAACAACTTGCAGTCTTGGTTACTCAACTTAAAAACAAGTTGCATACCTGGTTACTCAACTTACAAATCGAATGTTGTATAGAAAACAAAAAAAAAGGGTCATCGTTTTCACAAATATTCACACAACTGTTTGACAGCTATAAAATCTTAATTGTTTCCTAAGTTGCCATGTCTGTAGGTAAAGTAAAAGGGCACAAGTGCAACTAATGTGGGCATTTATTGTGGCAACGTTTCACTCTCCAGAAACTTTATCAAGCCATTACAAACAATACATGGACACAGAGGGTATATAAAAAGGCTCAGAGTGAGGTGCAATACAGTGAGGTACCATTTCGATGTTCAAATAGTGGTAGTAGTAGTAGTGACAAAAGTAATACAATATGGTAGAGCAATTAATTCGTACATGAGTAAAAACTATTACTTGGGTAACGTAAAAATAGGTTGGACAAAATATAGACTGGAAAGAGGCAAACTTGTTTCAGTGTTCACTCTCTGTAAGTGCTTTGTGTAGTATAACAGGAGAGACCCATGTATGGGGGTTTACTGTTTTCAGGAGGATTTTTGCTAAGACTTTGGAGATGGTGAAGCTGCCGTTGTTTTGTTTAACCCTTCAGGGTCCGTCCTGTAATCAACGGCTTTACATTGAGTGTCCAAACCGTAGATCAACGCCAAAATTCTAGCGCCGTCAAATTTAGCGCGAAAACGCTCATAGGTCTACATGTGAGGGAAAAGGGTCTGCGTGGTGGGTGTGCGCCATAAAAAAAATCTAGGCGCCCGCATAGATTGTTGGAACGCCGGCTCAGTTACCCTTGTTCACCATGCCTCGTCGCAAGTCAGCTCCACTCCCCGGAAAATTTGGGGACTTTTCCCTTTCCTATCGATAGTTCTGCATGATGGATTGGAAAGAAGACGAATTTACGGTTTTAAATTTTTAGTGCCCGAAAAGAATGCCCGGGATACGATAATAGTGCAGAAAACCCCTGCGACCTAACCCTTCTACCTCTGGTGTGGGCACTCTTGACTCACAGCCCGGTTTTTTTTCCTCATCGCTAAAAAACAATTTTTCCGGGGCCCAGGCCTCTGACTTCAGTAATGATGTAGTGACGTGGACTGTGATTTATTGCGCTCGACGATCAATCGAGTAGTGATATCAGGAATCATATTCCCCATGAAGCGGGGTATGTTCGCCGCCGCATGCTCTCGGGTATGAAACCTATGCTGTCCCCGGGGAACAGATACATCCCGGAGTACCCCCGTGGCCCAACCCCATTTTAGGTAGTGTAGTGAGGATGATGGGCTACATTTGGGCAGGGATAACCACAGGATCAGTGAGGGTTGTTAGTGGTGATGGTAGTGGACTCCCTGCGTACTCACGGGCCACGCTGGGCCCCACGCTGCTGATCGTCAGTTAAAGGAAAAAAGCGGAGCGCCAGCCACCACCCCACCAAAACCCACAACCCCGCAAACCCCCTATGATGCCGTATCCACCAGCAAACTGTATGTGGGAGGGGCAGAAAAAACCCCAATTTTGTTCCCAAGCCTCACCACTTTGATGACTCTAAAAGGGGGAATTTCTCCCACTTGCCCCCTTGGAACCAGGGCCCATAAACTGGAATTCTTTGAATTTTTTCTTTGCCCCAGCCATTGATGGAAATTTTTCAGGGAAAGAAATAGTTTTTTGGACACCATGGCAAAACGATCTTACACCACAGTCAAGACTAACAGGTGGAAAAAACCCTTTTTGGGAAAAATGTTTTTGTTTTTTGCAAAAAAATGCTTTCCCCACTCTATAAGCATAAATAAACATAGTCCACAGATCGGCTAATTTCTCCCCCCGGTCTTCAGTGAAATCATACCAGTAACAGGTTTATTTTACTCTTACTATGTTGCCTTCTCTGACAAACCCGGCCTGACAAAAAGTGACAGGTTAAAAAGATTAGAAATGTTTTCATGTATCTCAAACAAAATTCAGCATATACTTTTATCCTTTCAAGAATCTTGTAATTGCGGTTTTTATTTTGTTCAAAGGTGACTTCATAAAGCGAAATCCCGAGCAAGAGGAAACCTTGTAAAAAAACTGTTTGTACTCTTGATTGTGACGGGGCCCTGGTGTTGGTATTGTTGTAAAGGGGTAGTAAACTTAAAAGTACCAAGATGTTTTGGGTATCTCAGGGACGAGTGAAAACTGTGGCCCCCTTATTGGGAAAAGGGCAACATTAATACCGATAACTGGTCCCAAAACCCCATTACTCATGATTTCTGCGGTGAAAAAGACAATGTTGTGGCACGTGCTTCTAATCGTAAACATATGCCCAGGCTCAACGCAGGTGCTCGGGTGATGAGTGCAGGTGTTTACTGCCAATGACATCATGGCATTACGGTGGCATGCAAAAAGAGATGTCACATTGTTGACAACCCTTACCGTAAGAAATCAAGACAGTGCAAAATTGATCGAGTGACTAATGAACGTATTCGAAAACCAGTGTGTGATTTATTATACACAAAAAAGGTTGGTTTACAAATGTGAATGCAGATTGGGTTTTTTTGACGTGTTCGAAAAAATTACAAATGGGCATGAAACTTTTTTCCATCTCATGGGCATTTCAATGCTCAATGCATAAATTATACCAAATAAAGATGGCAAAAACCACCGAGGTGAATTTGTTTGTCCTGTTGTCAGACAACTTAATGAAGTACCAGGTAACAACCCTGCTATACAACATGGTCCCGAAAATTCCCCAGGATAACCCAAACGTTTGAGGAGGAAGGGATCATTTCATAAACAGTTCCCTTTAACAAGAAGAAAATTTTCTCAAAAGGGGTGCATTGTCGTCCCCAAACAAAAAGACGGCAAAAAAGACGCAAAACACTGGTTTATGTGTGAGGAAATTAAGGGGGCCTTGTGCATGGGCCTGTTTTTTTAAAGGGGTTCCCCAAGCTCCCGATTTTTAAAAACCCTTCCCTGATTGTAAAAATGAAAAATAATGATAGAAAATTAGTATTATACAATATTTGTGATTTTATTGTAATAAACCATGGTAAAAATAAATGATAATAACTTTTTGCGGTTTTGTGTTCAATACAGTGAGTTTATATATTACATTTTATAAGTATTGGTCTCTCAGGGCCCCCAAAGTTTTGTAGGAATAGAAAAAAATTGGAAAAGAAAAAACAACTAAAACCACAAAATAATGTAATACCGGGGATGTGGAATTCGTCGTTTGGCACTTTCTCGTAAATACTGATCAATTTTTTTTTTGTCTTATTACCTTCACAAAAAAAATGCTCTTTTAATTCTGTAAAAAAAAAATTTTTTTTTTTTTCAAAATTTTTTTGGACATGGGGCCCACTTCAGATTTTGGCCTTGGGCCCGAAAGGTTAAAAGTTTCGAAACAGCGATCATGCGATTCGAAGACTTGCGTTGCGGAAATTAGTTTTTTTGACACATTGGTCGTTTTTGGGTTTTTATGAAATGATTGGTGATTCGGGGTTTTTAACAGGCGTTGTACAATTATCATTAAGAATTAAATTGCCTACCAAATGTATTTTTTTGTCACTACTACTACTATACCATAGTGAACACGAAATGGTACCCACTAGTATTGACCTCACTTGAGCCTTTATATACCCTGTGTCCATGTATTGTTTTTAATGGGGTTTCCTGGGGAGCGAAAGTTGCCCCAAAAAAATGTCACATTAGTTCATTTTGTCCTTTTACTTTACAATTGTGGGAATTCTTTTAAATTTATTACATTCGTAAGTGCAGTATATGCGTTTGGGCTTTTAAATCAAGGAAACCCGCATTGGAGGTACACTGTTGTTATTTATATTTTTCTACTTTATTAGCATTTATCAATAATTTTACGGGTCAAGTTTGTGTGTGTCACTTTTCCCGTGAAACACAGTCCGTGCCCCTCTCTTGCCTCCTGTACATCAATCTTGTTTTAGTTTTCTTTCAACACACCAGTCATATCCTACCAAGGCAAGGTGACTCAAAATGGAAGAAAACCTTAAAAAGCTTTTCTTTTTTTAGATTTAGTAACTTGTATAGGAGAAACGTTACTGGCATTTTGGTCGCCTCTTATGACATGTATGGTTACGGAGGAAAGATTCTTGTTCAATTTCCCATGAAGGTGAAAGGAAATAAGAACAAGAACTATTAAGAAAATAGAAGAAAACTCAGATGGGTGTGTATACATGTACATGCCTGTGTAATGTGACCTAAGACTTAGTAAGCAGAAGTACCAAGATGTACCTGTTATTGTGCGTGTTTATGAGACAGAAAGAAGACATCAGCAATCCTACCATTGTGTAAAACAAATACAGGGTTCCACTTCACATTCACATGGCAGAATGGTAGTACCTCCCTGGGTGGTTGCTGTCTACCAACCTATTACCTATAATCAATCTTGGTATCATCTGCAAATTAAATGATGGGGTACAAAATATTTTTGCCAAATTCACTGATGCAGGTGACAAAGGTAAGCAAGTCCCAAAGTGTTTCCCAATCCTAAATAGATTTAAACTTAATTCATTCAGATTCTACTCTGTGCTCCTGGTCTTTATCAGTAATTTCATTCATGAATTTCTGGCTAGTCTTTCAAATTTCACTTATGTTACGGATGTTATTAATTTAGGGATCACTGTTCAAGATGTTCAGTCTAAAACTAGGTATGCTAAACTAAAAATAATACACAACTGGAAAAAGATGTATTATGAAACACAAGAAAGTCAAGAAAGTTTACACTGAATATAAGTGTAAGTTTGTAAGATTTATCTGTCATCTTACATGTTCATAAGGCAGAGAGAAAAAGAACAGCAGTCCTGCCAGAGAGTAAAAGATTTAACAGGCTTCCATTTCATGTTCACATGACAGGACAGGAGTTCCTTCCCATATGATTGCTCTCTCAACCTTATACCTGTTGAATGAATGCTTCATACACTGAAGAGAATCACATATGATAAAAATAATAAAAAAGACATTACAACTCTGAAGCTCACCTTGACAATGCCAGTAATGGTGATCATGTCACCTGGGACACACGAGTCAACAAGATCTTCTCTAACTTCACACTCAATTGTGCGAGGAACACGACCTCCTTCTTTCTGTAAAACACAAACTATCAATAACGTAGTCAGATTCTAAAATAAGCTTAATTGCTGTACATTACTTTGTTCAACCCTGAACACAACAATAATATAAAAAGAATATGGTATAGAAATTGACAATAATGAAAAAACAATACAGGTCGGCAATCAGTAATTCGGTTCCATCATCAATCCGGTGCTAATTTCGGCTACCATAATTTCAAATTTCCGGGGTTGCCACTCCAACTGCCGCTACTGTTTGGGAGCAGTTCTACTTGCTGCATAAGTCATTCCAACTTCTTTTTCTCCATTTATTGTTATAACCTGCTCACTTTTAGCCCTAGCCATGGTTCCAATGAATAAAAGAAATGCTTCTCATTGTGTAAAGAACATACACAGTACATTGTTCATAAAAGATAAGGTGGCTTTGAAGCCACTGTCGGTCGCCATGAGCTCAGCTCACTCAGATAAGGTGTGACTAGTAAATTTGGGCCTACATATGAGAGAACAGGTCTGTGTGGTAAGTGTGCACTATATAAAAAACATCCTGCAGCAGGCAGTGCAAAATGAGAAAAAAACGGCACCAGTGCTTTTGGTGTAAAACAGCGACTTTGCAGTGTATTTTTGTATGGTTTGCATGGTTTTATTCTTTTTTTGGTCTCATTTGATAGAATGGAAGATATCTTATGGGAATATATATAATTTTGATTGCTTTCACGCAGGAAAGGACCTTAAAATTGAGCTCAAAGTAGTAGAAATGTTTGAGTGAACAAATGACGTCGCCGTACAATACGTGTCCAACTGGCCGGTCTAACACGCAATCACAAATGGGTTGACGTTATTTATACAATTACATGTATTACAATAATGCAGTACTCTGCATAACAGTAAATCTTCTATTTTTTGTGTGTATAAAAATTCAAAATGGAAAGCAAGCGTAATATAAGAGGGGCCTGTAGACATGACTAATGAACAGAGAAAATGTTATTTTAGTGCCAAGAATGTCTGCAATGTGCATTCTGGGTGGTTTCTTGTACTCAATTGACAGAATAGAAGGAATACTAGTGAAATAGCTATGAGTTTGGTACACTGGAACAATGGAATGTACCAAAAATAGGGCATAAAGTGGGTGAAATTGCTGATGCGTAAATATCACCATTGGGTTAAGTGTATTCTAACCTTACCACTCTGTAATCTTGCAAAATCACTAATCCAGCACCCTACAGGTCCCGATGATGCCAGGTTAGTGATGGTCAACCTGCACTAAATTACTAGTGAAAATTAACATTTAAATAAGCATTAATATGTACATGTATTAAAATAATGGCACTGACAAACAAGTTAAATCTATTTTTCATGGCACTTTACATATAAAAATTTTCCAAGCCATTTTAAAGTAAAGAACAATATCTTCATACATTAAAAAAATTCTGAAAAAAATTTAAAACATTTGACCAAAATATATTTTTGATGTGGGGCCTGGCAGGCTCACCTGAAAAACTGTCTATCATACCTACTGTGTTACCTACCTATTATCTACCTCTTCTAGCCCTAGTACAGTCTTATGTGCCCAGTTCAGCATCCCTGACCTTCGCCTGCTCATCAGTGCTATACCCTTGTTGTAGTGATGCAAAGAGGCCAGGCAGGGCAGGAGCAAACACCCAGATCCAGTTGGCAACAAAATTTTGTTGTCAATACTTATTGTATAAATCCCTTCACCTGCATAAATTACTAAGCGTAAAAATAAGAGATTTATAAGGTTTTCTTCCTTTTCGAGTCACCCTGTCTTGGTGGGAGACAGTTGTTGTTGAAAAAACAAAAAACTTAGTGTACACTCTTCGTTCACAATGGACTGTTTCTCTGCTGGCTACCCTGCACCAAGGTGGCTTTGGGGACGAGTCTGCATTTACACTATGTTCTTATATCTCCCTGAGAATGGTACCCATTCTGCCTTCCCTGCTCACAGTTTTAAATCCAAAATAACGCCTCTGGCAGACTGATAAATATTCCTGTTTACATAGATTATATCTTAGCCATTTTTATTAATGCATCATAATTGTTATTTTGGCATTGAACCCTTTCAGGGTTTCGGCCATACTTGTACGGCTTACGCCCCAGGGTTTTTGACGTACTAGTACACCTAAATTCTAGTGCCCTCAAATCTAGTGAGAGAAAGCTGGTAGGCCTACATATAATAGAATCGGTCTATGTGGTCAGTGTGCACAGTATAAAAAAAATTCTGCAGCACACAGTGTGTAATGAGAAAAAAAAAATTTGACCGTGCTTTTGGATTAAAACAGCGACTTTGCACTGTATTTTCGTATGGTATTTATGGTTGTATTCTAGTTTTCCTGGTCTCATTTTATAGAATGGGAGACATATTACAGAAATTGAGATGATTTTGACTGGTTTTACAAAGAAAAGTACCTTGAAATTGAGCTCAAAGCAGCAGAAATGTTCGATTTTTACCAAAGTTCAAAAGTAAACAAATCATGTCAAGCATCCAATACACGTCAATTGGCGAGTCTAATATTCTTTCACAAGTGCGCTGATATTATTTATACCATTTTTACACTAATGCAGTAGTCTGCATAACAGTAAATCTTCTATTTTTTGTGAGAATAAAAATTCAAAGTGGAAAGCCAAAGACACATAAGAGGGGCCTGGGGATGTGATTAACGAACAGAGAACTTGTTATTTTAGTGCCAGGAATGTCTTTCTTGTTTATTCTGGACCCTATTCAGAAATTGACATCTTTTGAAATTTGTGTGAAATTGGCAAAATTGCTAAATTCTGACCACTTTATTGGATAGTTGAAATTGGTAAATGGGTGGTTTCTTGTGCTCATTCGATAGAAAAAATGGAGTTCTAGCGAAATAGTTATGATTTTTGTCGACTAGTACAGTGGAATTGGCCGAAAATAGGGCTCAAAGTGGGCAAAATTGTCGAGGCTGCCAACTTTGCGAGAGCATAATTCCATAAGTTTTCCATCAAATTTCATACTTTTTGTGTCATTATGACTGGGAAAAGATACTCTATCTTTCATAAGAAAAAATAATTTTTTTTTTTTTTTGAAATTTGGGCGACCCTGAGAACAAGTTTCGGAGAGGGTCTGGCGACCCTGAAAGGGTTAAAATCATACTGGAAGAGACCAAGTATTTGGTTATTGAATCTCAGTAGAAATACTTCATTTCCAACCAAAAATAGCTTACCAACCTGTGCGTGGCTTTGACATTATTCTTAATTATGCTATAGTAAACTTATTTTTTATAAGATTTACTGTTGTGCAGTTATTCCTCAGCTTCTGTCTCTAACTGTAGGTAGGAACTAAAGTCACATCTAGGGTGGATTCTTACCTGATCATCACTGATAATTTCCTGAATTCTGAAGTTTTGCCAGTCTACTGTGTGTGTCAACTTGTGAGAGCGGTCTGGCACAAATGATCTTGCCCTACACTCCTGAACGTGGCAGGAAGTTGGCACAGTGTAACGACCTTCATTCTGGCTCACTCCCTGAACACTCCCGCACCCCATACACGTAAAAGCCAGTCTTGTACATAATGGCTTAATGCTGCTTACACGGACAACTGTTCCTTTGACGCTCACAAGTTTGCCTGAAATAATTTTTTTTTATATAGCCAGTGTCATAACTTGAAGCATTTTTGGAATGTAAGCAATGTAACATGAAGGTAATCAGGGATACCAGTGTGCTAGACTCAGGTTCTAGAAGTGGGAAATACAATATCTGCACCATGAAGGATGGACAAGAACATCAATTCACAGGGGTCATTTTAAACTGTTTATTTGAATTGTTATGTCAAAGCACTTCTGACACGACAGCTATTGAACAAGTGATGACGAGTGTGTTTCTTTCTTTGCATCACCATACTTTGTTGGGAAATGCCCTATAGGCTTAAAAATATTAATTTGTAAATATCTTTCAAGAAAATAAAAGTGAGAAACTAATACAAGAGCTGAGGATGGTTGAATAAAATGTTTAACAGCTTTACTTATTTTAATAAAGAACAATAATAATAATAATAATATAATCAAATTAAGTCCTAAACCCAAAGGGGTCATGCAGCTATTTAACATATAATGCCCATTCACAGATGAAAATATTACCTGCAATGATCTTTCAAAAGGGTGTGTTGATATTAAAGGGATCTTGATCCAAGAAAGAGATTACTTTTTCCTTTCTTGAAACAAATCTAATTCTTTTTATTACGTTGGCTGTCTTCCACCGAGGCAGGGTGACCAGTAAAAGACACTCTTTCACTATCATTCACACAATCACTATCTTTCCAGAAGTGTGTTAGTGTCAGCAATGATGGACATCAATTACTCAGGTTTCTGGAGAACTTACAAATTCCTCATTACTATTTAAGGGTTTAGTGCTCTCTATGTAATCACAATTCAACTTTAAAGAAATAGTTGTCTGCTTGTTTGTCCTATTTGTCATGCCTAAATTTGTTGTTTGTATATCTTTAATGTCCATAAATATAAGCAACTGTTGTCCAGAGGGCTGAGGAAGGGTTGTTGAGGTGGTTCGGACATGTAGAGAGAATGGAGCGAAACAGAGTGACTTCAAGAGTGTATCAGTCTGTAGTGGAAGGAAGGCGGGGTAGGGGTCGGCCTAGGAAAGGTTGGAGGGAGGGGGTAAAGGAGGTTTTGTGTGCGAGGGGCTTGGATTTCCAGCAGGCATGTGTGAGTGTGTTTGATAGGAGTGAATGGAGACAAATGGTTTTTAATACTTGACGTGCTGTTGGAGTGTGAGCAAAGTAACATTTATGAAGGGGTTCAGGGAAACCGGCAGGCCGGACTTGAGTCCTGGAGATGGGAAGTACAGTGCCTGCACTCTGAAGGAGGGGTGTTAATGTTGCAGTTTAAACTGTAGTGTAAAGCACCCTTCTGGCAAGACAGTGATGGAGTGAATGATGGTGAAAGTTTTTCTTTTTCGGGCCACCCTGCCTTGGTGGGAATCGGCCAGTGTGATAATAATAAAATAATTATTGCCACTGTAGTCTAAAGTTAGGCTTAAGTTTGCCCAAAATGCTCTGCATAACTATAGGCTTTCTGCATGCACAACCAAATGTCTCCCATCTCTGTACAAACATTCTATCATTTGGAAATAAATCTCTAACTTTGACTTTAACTTTGATGAATATAATAATTTAGGAACAATGACCATCACCCACAAATTGGTCTCAGTGAACACTGTAATGAAGGTAAACACTTCTATTACAAGGTCTTAACAGGCTTTGTATTTACATTATACTCCACTTCACACCCCCTTCAGAGGAGGTGCCTTGATTATAAGGAATGGCTCTTGATCCTAGAAACTGGAGTTACCAGGCTTTTCTTGGACCACACCTGACTGCCTCCCATTTCCAAGGTCTTGTATGACAATGGTAACCCTTCTTGGATCAAACCTGATAGTCACCTATTCCCCAAGCCTTGCATAACAAATGGGTTTAGCACGTCCCAAAGAATGTAATGATCCATTTAGCAGACAAAGTATAAAGAACAGCATGCAATTTAAGCATTAACCACGAAGAATAAAGTCACAAAACCGTGGCTGCAATAATTCACAAATAACTCACCCTTATGAGACAAAACTTCTCACAATGTTTTGGTATGACCTGGGCCATTATTATCAAGTCACAACCAAGCAAGAAAAAGCAGAGAGACCAGGAAATAGAGTAACAGGAGGAAGAAGGGCAGTAGAAGCAAGCAAACAAGTAAGCTGGCCAGCATTCTTGATAACTTCTGTAGTTATCCTCTGTTTTTGCATTCTGTGGACCCAAATGTGAAGTTTAGTTTTTTCACCACACAATATAACATTTTTGACACAACCACTGAACTGATGCCACTTCACATACAAGGGAATAGAAAAACCCAAGTGGTGAATAATTTCTCTCTCTTATCTAAATTATTAAGGAGTCAAGTCCAGGAAATTGTGGCTCTGACAAGGACTGTGAGACTTCAAAGATTTGTGTGAACAAGAAGAAAATTAACTATTAAAAGAGAATGATGAAAAACCAATCACATAATTGCTAAAGCTCAATTACTGATAAAGAGAGAAGATACTGGAAGAGGATGAGGAAAAACTTGACAATAAAGAGGTAACACTGCCAGAATTACACGACAATACTGTTTTTTCACTGAAAAGGATCCTGATATGTTTAGAAGCATTGTAGTAAAGAATTTTCTGCAGAAAGAAATGATGCCTTCTCAGCTCTTTGCAAGTGCTCCATGGTAAAAGAACACTGACACATTACAGAATACATAAGTACTTCAATGTAATCTTTAATTACTGACAAGCCTGTATTCACTTCAGTCCACACTCTTCTGCCTCAACTAACGCTCACTAGCAAAATATTAAATAAAAAATGATTTGGCAAATTTGGAGGTGTTTGAAATGTGTCCCTATTTTTCCCATATGGTTTTATTTCACATAATACTACCTTACCTTAAGCACCAATCATCAGGAAATGTAAACGAGGGTGGAAACAATGGGCATGTTTCCTTACACCTGTTGTCCCCATGCACCTAGCAAGTAGGTAGGTACCTGGGTGTTGTCAACTGGTGTGGGTGACATCCTGGGGAACAAAACTGAAGGACCCAAATGACACACTGACTTTCTGGGGTTATCCTAAGTGACTAACCTTCCAGGTTAAAAATCTGAATAAAATCTTATCTATACTTACAGGCAAAAATGTGGTTAACCATTTACAGAGACTCTTCCTTTCATAAATCAAGCTGATATTTTGGAAATGCAGCAACTGCAGTAACATTTAAATTAAAAGCCTAGCTATAATAATGAATCTGGAAAATGCCAGGAATTCAGGTGAAGCAAGAACTACCTATGAATATAAGTTGGTACCCAAGACTTACTTTTTCTCACTTGTTTCTCTTTGTAAATAATTATTACGAGAAAAGTAAGACTGGTTACAGAAAATAAATGAATCAAGCTAAAAATCCCACTTTCTACAATTGTTCCCTACATTTATAAAAGTAAAAGCACTAATTTTTTAACACATCAGCCATTTCCCACCAACGTAGGGTGACCCAGAACAAGAAGAAACACTTTCATTATCACTCAGTCAATCACTGTTTTGCCAGAGGTGTGCTGATACAAAAGTTCAAAACTTACAACATATCTCCACCCCTCCTTCAGCGTGCAGGCATTCTACCATTTAGTTTATTTTAGTAAAATTCTACTAAAGAAGTGATATAATAATGTTAGTAGCTGGAGTAGATGAATAAGACATGTGGTTCTGAAAAACCACTTATCAATAATAAATTATTAATACTGCAACAAACTTGGTTTATTTTATTGCTGATGACTGGTAAGTCATCACACTTAAAAATTTAAAGCTCTTAAACATGTTAATTATTATAAAACAACTAAAATAACAGATTATAATAATCATATACCTCAGTGGGATACAGTTGGTACATTGAAAGAAAAAGAGAGAACTAAGTACTGAACCGACATGGGTCATAGTTAACATAAAAGAGACAGTAACCTAACAGAATATAATTAATAAGAAAACTATATTTCAAGCACTATTTGGATTAACTTGGAACACTTTTTTTGAGGGGAGTGAGGAAGAACCAGTTGTGAGTGTGGGGGAAGTGCATGAGGCAGTGGGTACAATGAAAGGGAGTTAAAACAGCTGGGACTGATGGGATAAACAAAGAAATGTTAAAAGCAGTGGAGATATAGTTTTGGAGTGGCTGGTGTTTTTATTTAATAAATGTATGGAAGTGGGTAAGGTACCTAGGGATTGACAGAGAGCATGCATAGTTCCTTTGTATAAAGGCAAAGGGGACAAAACAGAATGTAAAAATTATAGCGGAATAAGTTCACTGAGGGATATGTTGTGTATCTTTATATGTGTATGCTTCTAAACTGTTGTATTCTGAGCACCTCTGCAAAAACAGTGATAATGTGTGAGTGTGGTGAAAGTGTTGAATGATGATGAAAGTATTTTCTTTTTGGGGATTTTCTTTCTTTTTTGGGTCACCCTGCCTCGGTGGAAGACGGCCGACTTGTTGAAAAAAAAAAAAAAGTCCACTGAGTAATCCTGGTAAAGTGTATGGTAGAGTTATTATTGAAAGAATTAAGAGTAAGATGGAGAGTAGGATAGCAGATGAACAAGGCTTTAGAAAGGATAAGGGGTGTGTAGACCAAGTATTTACAGTGAAATATATAAGTTAACAGTATTTAGATAAGGCCTAAGACAAGGATGTGTGATGTCACCGTGGTTGTTCAATATATTTATAGATGGGGTTATAAGAGAAGTAAATGCGAGGGTCTTGGCAAGAGGTGTGCAGTTAAAAGATAAAGAATCACACATAAAGTGGGAGTTGTCACAGTTGCTCTTTGCTGATGACACTGTGCTCTTGGGTGATTCTGAAGAGAAGTTGCAGAGGTTGGTGGATGAATTTGGTAGGGTATGTAAAAGAAGAAAACTGAAAGTGAATACAGGAAAGAGTAAGGTTATGAGAATAACAAAAAGATTAGGTGATGAAAGATTGGATATCAGATTGGAGGGAGAGAGTATGGAGGAGGTGAATGTATTCAGATATTTGGGAGTGGACGTGTCAGCGGATGGGTCTATGAAAGATGAGGTGAATAATAGAATTGATGAGGGACAAGGGTGAGCAGTGCACTTAGGAGTCTGTGGAGACAAAGAACTTTGTCCTTGGAAGCAAAGAGGGGAATGTATGAGAGTATAGTTTTACCAACACTCCTGTATGGGTGTGAAGCATGGGTGATGAATGTTGCAGCGAGGAGAAGGCTGGAGGCAGTGGAGATGTCATGTCTGAGGGCAATGTGTGGTGTGAACATAATGCAGAGAATTCGTAGTTTGGAAGTTAGGAGGAAGTGCGGGATTGCTAAAACTGTTGTCCAGAGGGCTGAGGAAGGGTTGTTGAGGTGGTTCGGACATGTAGAGAGAATGGAGTGAAACAGAATGACTTCAAGAGTGTATCAGTCTGTAGTGGAAGGAAGGCGGGGTAGGGGTCGACCTAGGAAAGGTTGGAGGGAGGGGGTAAAGGAGGTTTTGTGTGCGAGGGGCTTGGACTTCCAGCGGGCATGCGTGAGCATGTTTGATAGGAGTGAATGGAAACAAATGGTTTTTAATACTTGACGTGCTGTTGGAGTGTGAGCAAAGTAACATTTATGAAGGGATTCGGGGAAACCGGCAGGCCGGACTTGAGTCCTAGAGATGGGAAGTACAGTGCCTGCACTCTGAAGGAGGGGTGTTAATGTTGCAGTTTAAAAACTGTAGTGTAAAGCACCCTCCTGGCAAGACAGTGATGGAGTGAATGATGGTGAAAGTTTTTCTTTTTCGGGCCACCCTGCCTTGGTGAGAATCAGCCAGTGTGTTAATAAATAATAAATAAAATTATGGATTTGGAAAAGGCATATGATAGGGTGGATAGGGGGGTAATGCTGTTGCAAATGTATGGAATAGGAGGTAGGTTACTGAAAGCAGTGAAGAGTTTTTACGAGGATAGTGATCGTATGGAGGAGGTGAATGTTTTCAGATATTTGGAAGTGGACATGTCAGTAGATGGGTCTATGAAAGATGAGGTGAATCATAAAATATACATGGGGAAAAAGGAGAGTGGTGCACTGAGGAGTCTGTGGAGACAAAGAACTTTATCCATGAAAGCAAAGAGGGGAATGTATGAGAGTACAGTTATACCAGTGCTCTTATGTGGGTGTGAAGCATGGGTGGTGAATGTTGCAACAAGGAGAAGGCTGGAGGCAATGGAGATGTCATGTCTGAGGGCAATGTGTGGTGTGAATATAATGCAGAGAATCCATAGTTTGGAGAATAGGAGGAGGTGCGGGATTAATGAAACTATTATCCAGAGGGCTGAGGAGGAGTTGTTGAAGTGATTCGGACATATAGAGAGTATGGAATGAAAAAGAATGACTTCGAGATTGTATAAATCTGCAGTGGAGGGAAGGTGGGGTAGAGGTAGGCCTAGGAAAGGTTGGAGCAAAGGGGGAAAAGGAGGTTATGTGTGCAAGGGGCTTGGACTTCCAGCAAGCATGTGTGAGTGTGTTAGATAGGAGCGAATGGAGACATATGGTTTTTAGAACTTGACATGCTGTTGGAGTGTGAGCAAGGTAACATTTATGAAGGGATTCAGGGAAACCAGCAGTCTGGACTTGAGTCCTGACAATGGGAAGTACAGTGTTTGCACTCTGAAGGACGGGTGTTAATGTTGCAGTTTTATAACTGCAGTGTAAGCACACTTCTGGCAAGACAGTGATGGAGTGAATGATAATGAAGGCTTTTCTTTTTCAGGCCACCCTGCCTTGGTGGGAAACAGCTGATATGTTAATAACTAAAAAATATATATAAAAAGTCAACCCATGGCTGAGAATAAACATTATTTTAAGAATGTTACAAAATGTTATGAACTATTAATTTTTTTTTCAACACACCAGTAGTCTCCTACTGAGGATGGGTGACCCAAAAAAGAAAAACACTTTCACTATCTTTCAACACTTTCACCATGCAAAGAGAATTCATCATCAAATTCTGTACACATTAACTTCATATCATAATACTCTACATAAGAGGGCCTGAGAAGTGTCTTAATAACCAACTAACAGACATTCACTAAATCTCACCATAGCAATTTGCTTTGAGACTCTTGAGCTGAGTTAGTTTAGTGTGATCAGTGAGTCGAGCATGAATTAAGGGTAGATTAGCCTCATGAACATAAGCATCTAAAGTTGTATCATCTAAACCTTCCATTGTTCCTGCCAATACTTCTGTTGCTTCTTGTCTTAATTCTGCTTCAACTTCCTCTGTTAGTAACTGTAAAACATAGCATACATAAAAATAATATAATGTCTTACAATATGGTAGGTAATTTTAAAAACTGAGGAGTACTGTCACCATGTAGATCATTTAGCACTCTTTGACAATAAAAATACATACAACACACAAGAATAAGAAATATATAATTAACAGATAATAGAAATAACTAACCTGAATAAATCACACAATATAAATAAATAGTATCACACCAAATTAAAATAAATTTCAGCTAAAAATCCCATTAAAATATTAATGTCAAAAGACTCTCCTGAAAGGTCCCAGCAGTTCCTACAGGCACTCCATTATTATAAAAACCAGGACAAAAGTGGAAAGGCCTAAGCTGTGTGTAAAGTGTTAGTGTGTTCCACAGTCAGAAGCATATCACAAGCTAAGCATGGAAAGGAAAAGGGTAAGCAAAAGTACCTGTAAACAGGTGACTGTGGATGAGATGAATGTTCCTAACTCTCAAGTAACAGTGATTCTTCTCAAAGTGATTCCTGTCAAAGGGAGGCCAAAAACATCATCTTGTCAAGCCCTCTATAACCTGCTTCTCAATCTGTAGGGTCCACCAGACTCCCCTCCCCACTTCCTGAGGGCATCTTACACCAATATGAGTAAAGAAAATAAACTTCACTACAGCATCATGACACTGCTATGATATCACTGTCTGGCATATCTATCTTCACTTTCATATCATTTAATTCCAATTGTATTTTTGTCTTCAATTTGCTTCCCTAAGTGCAAACACAGTTTGAATCATTGCCCAGATGAATATAGGCCATGTACATGAAGAGCCACACTCCTGCAAAGAGTAGGTGAATGTTTACCATGAGACCCAAGTATGAGGTGATGATCAGGCCAGTCTAACAAGCGTACCTTGTCCCCCAATGAGCAGATGACAGAGCTGCCTGGCATGCCTTGGACTGTGATGTTAAAAGGAAGGTACAACAAGACATGTATGGCCCTGGTCTAGAAGAGGAAGTCCATACAGGAAGTGGGTGAGACAGTATGATATTCATCACTTAACGCCACAAAGAAGCAAAGGAATGTGGATTTGGAAGGCTAACAAGTATATGATGATTATCCCAAACATCTATGCATCCCAGCTGTTCATGTATTAGTCAGACACATGAGTTAACACATCCCAGAGTTCAGAGAGGAGACTGGCATAGTTTCAAGATTGTCTGGCAGTTACAGCAGTGGCTTCTTGTTCCTTGCACATGGAGGCCTGGAACCCAAAACACAGCAAGGAATCCCAACAAACTCAACTTTTGTGAAAAATACAAAAGGGCTTTGGCAGATATTAAGGTACCCACAGGAATGACCAGAGTAGAAGTGGCAGAGAGGCAAGGCCATTTAAAAAGTTTTGACAGTGACTGCTGGTACTGAGGTCATTTCATCCCACCATTACACAAGAAGAAACTTCTAGACAGCCCTGGAGCACTGCAGAGGAGCCACCATAAGGAAAGTCTGTGCAGGACTCCTTCCAGGTACAAGTTCCAGTCTGCCTCAGTACAATCATCTCGAGGCTCATCAATGTCACAAGTTCTGAGGGACTGGGAGGCAGAATGAGGGATCACCACAAGAAAAATGTAGGTAACAGGCAGGACAAGTTTAGATGATGACAATGCCTCAAGCCACCTTTGTGCTAGCAGATGAGGAGTCAACAGAAAAACCATTTGCAAAGAGGGGAGAAGGAAGTGTTTGACAACTGGAGTTGGGCAGAGCATGTAAGCCCTACCTGGCACCTGCCCACCACACCAGAGAGCAGAGATAGGTTAGCAAAGGCTGAACTGGGCACAATAAAGTGTGACAGATTTTACTGTGAATAAAAAATGTAGATATTAGATCAGGAATAGGAATGACATACTCCAGGTGGGTTCCCTAGAGTTCTAACTCAAAAAAAAAAATTATATTAGTGTCCATTTTCAGACTTTTCAGAGCAGAAGGGTTACATTTAGTGTGTGTGTTGCATAGTGAGGGGAATCAGTGTTGATAACAACCACACCAGATATTGTGGTTGTCAGTGTTGAAAACAACCACACCAGGTATTACTGTACTATACCACAGTGAGAAAACCAGCATCATTATTATATACAAGAGGAAGCTGTACATCCTTAAGGATCATTTAGCATCAAGGGAACAGAAGATAAATAGGTTTAATCCCAGGGGAGGCACCTCCAATTTCTTGGATCAAGAGCCCTTCAGCAGCATCAAATCATCCTTCGAAGGGAATGAAAGGGTGCCTTAATGATACTGAATAGCTCTTGATCCAAGGAACTGGAGCTGAAACAAACGGTAGTCCAGCTCCAGTACATAATATAAAGTACAGTAGGACCCCCATATCCACAGGAGATATGTTCCAAGGACCTGGCACGGATATCGAAACCGCGGATAGTAGCAAACCGTATATGTAAGTCCTATATATACCTATTATAAAGTTTAATTGGCAAATTATGCACATTAAGTGGAGAATTTTCACTTTTTTACTGATAGGAAGAACTTCACGGCTTCTCTTAGGCTTTGAAGAACTGCCAGTTAATGTGCTTTGGGGCCATTATTATGTAAAATTAAGAGTTTTTTTCAAGGCCACAGTAAACCTTGGATAACTGAAACTGTGAATATCAAATCAGTGGATATGGGGGGTCTACTGTACAGTGTTGTACTGTTTTCATACCTGGTGCATTGCAAGACCAAGGCAACTAATAATTTTTTCTGGAGAATTAATTACTAAGCTTGGTAATTCTGGTATTTCCTTCATGATGACCTCATCAGCCAAGAGCATCTTCAGATTCACCGTAAAAGCTCGACGCTCTTCAATTTCTTCCCGTTGCACTGAAGGCCGCAGCTGAAGGAAATACTTTTCGAAGGCTTTAATGAATGTTACGGCCTCAGATCCCTCACTATAACCTGCCAGATTTAAATTAAAGTCAAAGAATTAGCACAAACATAAATAGTCAAAGTGTACTTGCTTTATACTGTATCCTAAGCATAATAAAGTAAGAATATTAAAACTAAAAGTAAAAAACATGCTACAGTGTACTGTAGCATGTTTTTTATTTTTACAGCCTCTCCTCACTTAGCAATGTACTCAGCCTCTCCTCACTTAGCAATGTACTCAGCCTCTCCTCACTTAGCGATGTACTCAGCCTCTCCTCACTTAGCGATGTACTCAGCCTCTCCTCACTTAGCGATGTACTCAGCCTCTCCTCACTTAGCGATGTACTCAGCCTCTCCTCACTTAGCGATGTACTCAACCTCTCCTCACTTAGCGATGTACTCATTTATCAACGACTCGGACTTACAATGGGCTTTCTGACCAGTAAGCATACCTAAATAATGTATATTAGAGTTAATTTCCTTTATTCTGTTTATTACAGTATACAGTACACTATTGTATAAACATTTAAAAATATACCAGAAATGTTATAAATGGTGCAAAGGTAACATTAAAACAATATCAAGGATGGTTGACACAAACCCACTGCCATTATACTGTGTATGTGCTGTATTAGAAAGAAAAAATAAATAAATCAAAGCAAATTCCAACTTGATAACTTTGTTTTAATTTGCATAACTCGTACATTTTACAGAAAACAATAAAAAAGTAAAATACACATACATACCTTATTACTTACCTTAAAATATTTGCACTCTTAATGTAGGGTGAGAGTCAAGAGTATTTATTGTAGCATACAATGCATATACAGTACACTCATTACTTACCTTAAATATCTGTAGTCCTAATGTGGGGTGAGAGGTGAATATTTATTGTACAAAGAGAAAGAACAACAACAAAGAATGGAAGTACTGTACAAAAGAAGTTCACATTAAAGGGGTTAGCTGGTGAGTTTGTCTGTATTTACATTCTGTATGCCTCTCATGGCATCTTAAGAAAAGATTAAACTCGGTGAACAAGGTATGTCGATGGTAATAATAATACTAATAATAAATAAATAATAATATAATAATAATAATACAGCCTCTCCTCACTTAACGATAGAGCTCCGTTCCTAGGACCACGTCGGTAAACGAATTCATCGCTAAGTGAGGAGCATACTATAATGGTAGTGGGTTTGTGTCAACCATCTTTGATATTGTTTTAATGTCACTTATGCACCATTTATAACATTTCTGGTATATTTTTGAATGTTTATACAGTAGGGTACTATATACTGTAATAAACAGAATAGAGGAAATCAGCTCTAATATAAATTATTTAGGTATGCATACTGGTCAGAGAGCCTGTTGTAAGTCCGAGTCATCGGTAAACAAGTACGTCGCTAAGTGAGAGGCTATAATAATTCCTAAGGAGCGCTAAGAGAGGCTATAATAATTCCTCTGGAGCACTTTAAATGTCATACGTATTTTGTATATGTTTGATAGCTGACATTTAATATGCTCCACATTGATTATTATTAATTTATTATTATTATTATTATTATCATTGAGCTTAATCATTTCTTAAGATGCCATAAGAGAGACAATGTAAACACACAGACGAACACACCAGCTAACCCCTTTACTGTGAACTTTTGTACTTCATCCATTTTCCTCTTGTTTTTCCAATTCCAAGTGCTGCTGCACTTCTAACTATCTTGTATTATGGGGTGCATAATAAAGTACAAATTAGTACAAATATGTAATCTTGGAGACTGTGAAAGCTAGTGTACTAAGTGGCTGTAGGAAGGAGATCGAGATGCTTGACGCTGAGACGTCACAGTGCCCGTTTCCATGACCCACGTCCTTGTACTGTACATAATACCGACTCGTCGGAGACCCCATTGTAACTCAAAGTTGTTGGTAAAAGAGTACGTCAGTAAGCGAGGAGAGGCTGTATTCAAAGGAAAGCACTAAATTCACAAAAATCATATAGCAACTGGGTAATGAGAAATAATGAGGCTTGATTCAAGAAAAGGGAGATGATGAATATGACACATGTGAAACAAGAATATTGTTGAAATGTTTCACCTGTATAACAGACTTCTTCACTCAAATACAGGCAAATATAACACTGGAGACAATACTAGTAGTAGTTTTTAGGTTATCAGTCCCTCAACTTTGGTTGGGCATTAATAACATTTCAGTAATCAAGATACTCAAGCAGCCAATTAAGACATGCCCAAAATTGGGTATTTTTATTGTTGAAACATTGTGCCTACAGAGCAGGCTGCTTCTGTCAAATACAGAGACAGCAGAAACAGAGGCAGCAAGACAGATGATGTAATCAGTCCATCAACCTTGAAGTACTACTAGTTTCAAGATGGTCAGTCCCTCAGCCTGGAGAAATGTTCAACTCTATAGCTGAACAACTCTCAGAGCTATTTGAATTGTGGTATCCACACACTTCTGGTAAGACAGCTAATGAATGAGTGATGGTGAATGTGTTTCCATTCACTAAAACAGCAGAAGCTACCATTTATGCAGGAGGTCAATCAACACATCTATCCACTAATAACAAAACCATTATAGTATATCTTTTGGTATATTAAAAGAAACTTATGCTACCACACCCCCTAACTCATAACACAGAGATCATAAAAAATTATTCAAATTAATTGTGGTACAGTGGGATGAACTGGGCAGACAGTGGAAGCAAACTCTATATAGGAGTTTAAAATATACACATTACAAGCTATTATATGTCTTTATGTTAAAACTTACGTGGAAAGCTGAAAACTAGAGTCACCCTCTCCACTCCGAAAAATCAAATACATAACTAAGTAATTTTGCATTTTCTCTGGGGAATGAAATTTAAAATGTATAGTATTATGATACAGGAGAGCCCTGCTTATACAGGTCAGGTTCCAGGCTATCACTGTAAAGTGAAAATCACTGTCAAGTGATTTCAAATGCATATACAAGCCTGACAACATGTTTACACAATCATATATTAAGTGGGCAACAGAGTTAGGCCTAAAAAATGCGTACACAGTACACACATTACTTATATTACTTTTGTCCTTAACTTATAGTGAATGGTAAATATATTTATTGCAGGAAGCCTGAATAAATGAAGATGGGTATAACCTGCATTAGCAAAATGCTGTAAAGTGAACTGCTGTGAAGTCGGGCCCTCCTGTACTCAGTTTGTAAGACAATTTGATCAGTAGTGAACAGAGTATTACCACAATCTATATAATTTTTCAGAATTTTTCCTGTGATAACATGAAGTTGTGCTGAAAATGTTACAACTGATTCAATATTTTTTTAAAAATTAAATATTATTAATTTATACTATATAACTTTTTATGTTTATATAATTCATGTGTAAAAAAATCTGTCTACCATTAACTGAGTGTGGATGAATGAGTGTACTTATGTGTGTGGGAATGATCTTACATGAGTGGAAACATCTTCAGAACAATGTAATTTTTGTGTGATCATAACATCTGTGAGCTCTCAAGACCAAGGCAGGGCGACACAAAGAAGAAACCACATTCACTATCATGCACTGAACTACCGTCTTTCCAATAGTGTGCGAACCTCACAATCAAATTACTCTCTGACTGTAGCATCCCTACCTCTCCTTCAGAGTGCAGGCACTGCCCTTCACACCTCCAGGATTCAAGTCCAGCTAACCAGTCTCAATCAATCCCTTCATAAAAGTTGCCTTGCTCACACTCCAGCAGAATGTCCATTATAAACCACTTATCTCTATTCACCTATATGCAAGCATGTAGTCATGCAACAATTAATGCAGAACTTTGTCTTTTGTTTCTTTCTACTTTAAATCCTGATAATTAAGACATATGTACAACAATTAGGAATCTTTATTCTGAAAAGCTTCATCTACACGTCAGGGAAAATTTTTCGGAATAAACACACCTAACTGTTGAACATGTGTCTTACTTATCAACTTGTCGGTATTGTATTCCGTTATCATGGTTACACTATAAAGCTTGCCCAAGCATCAACCTGTAACTACAGTATTTGTATATTTGTCTTCAGTAATTATTATTTGTACAGAATTATATTCCTGGTAAGTGATAAACCTGTATAAGGACCATACAGCACCTGGATAAATGGATGACAATAATGTTTGGATCCAAGGTTGCTTGTAAGAGGGTCAATCACAAAAGAAAGTAGCATGTCTGTATGCTGTATTCAATCAGCCCAAACTTATATCATTTTATTAAATTTCTAATAGTTATAGCATTTATTACCCCTTTTACACTACTCCACCATACCACCATTCCTGTGAAAATTCATTTTGCAAATACATTATTATTATTAGCACAAAAGTGAACTAGATTAAAGGTCGAACTAGAGCACTCACAATTATCATTATTATTATAATCATAACTAAGAACTAAGCCCATAAGGGTTATACTGTCCTGCAGAGAACTGATAAAAACTGAGATTCTTAAACAAAATAAAAAACGAACTATTAACCTTCATTCATATAAAGCAACCAGCCTTTATATGGAGTAGGCACCTGTGGCAGCATTGATGTGATGAGCCGTTGTGACATTCCTACCCTCGACACATCACCACACTCAGAGCTCTGAGATGACATCCTACATAAGGGTGCTGCCATCATCCCCACACCTGAAAAATAGAAGTACCACTTGTTTTTCCAGTATCGTTACCTTTTTTATATGATTCTAGTAATAAATATGAGAAAATTTTGAAATGAAATTTTAAAGAATCAAATACACACTAGATGCAGATTAATACAGGAACAATATTTTTGATATACAGGAGATAAAAATAATTATTATAGGTAGTAGGTTGGTAGACAGCAACCGCCCAAGGAGGTACTACTGTCCTGCCAAGTGAGTGTAAAACGAAAGCCTGTAATTGTTTTACATGATGGTAGGATTGCTGGTGTCCTTTTTTCTGCTTCATAAACATGCAAGATTTCAGGTATGTCTTGCTACTTCTACTTACACTTAGGTCACACTGCACATACATGTACAAGCATATATATACATACCCCTCTGGGTTTTCTTCTATTTTCTTTCTAGTTCTTGTTCTTGTCTATTTCCTCTTATCTCCATGGGGAAATGGAACAGAATTCTTCCTCCGTAAGCCATGCGTGTCACAAGAGGCGACTAAAATGCCGAGAGCAAGGGGCTAGTAACCCCTTCTCCTGTATATATTACTAAATTTAAAAGGCGAAACTTTTGTTTTTCCTTTTGGGCCACCCCACCTCAGTGGGATACGGCTGGTACATTGAAAGAAGAAAGAAAAATAATTATTCTTGCATTTTTATTGTTAATGAACAGAGCTCACCTCATGAAAAATAACAACGATGGGGTTCCGTTCTCAAGACCATGTCGGTAAACGAATTTGTCACTAAGCATGGAGCATACTATAATGGTAGTGGATTTGTGTCAACCATCTTTGATATTGTTTTACTGCCACCTTTGCACCATTTATAACATTTTTAGTATACGTATTTTTAACCCTTCGAAGGTCCAAGCCATAGTTCTACTCCTTGTCCACAGGGTCCAAGAATTTAAAAAAAAAAAAAAATCTATTTTTCTTATGAAATTGTAGAGAATCTTTTTCTAAAGGCAATAAAACAAAAAGTACAAAATTTGAAGGAAAATTGACAAAATTATACACTCTGAGAATTTTACTGCATCAGCGATATTTATGCATCAGTGATTTTGCCCACTTTGACTCCTATTTTAAGCTAATTACATTATTCCAGTCGACCAAATTGTTAGCTATTTCGCTACTATCACTTCTATTTTATCGACTAAGCACAGAAACTGCCCAATCAAACAATATGAACTACCCAATAAAGTGATCAGAAATTGGTAATTTGGCCAATTTCACAAGTTCAAAATATGCATTCCAATTTCAAAATAGGGTCCAGAATAAACAATACAGGCATTCCTAGCACTAAAATAACATTTTCTCTGTTTATTAGCTATGTTTCCAGGCTTTACAGATGAATTCCATTTTTATTTTTTTATTCACATAAAGAATTTTTATTTACACAAAAAAATAGAAGATTTACTGTTATGCAATATTGTAATAATTGTATAAATAATATCAGCACATTCATGAATGTATATTAGACCCACCAGTTGAATGTATATTAGACTCACCAGTTGAATGTATATTAGACCCACCAGCTGAACATTGGCAAAAATTGAACATTTCCACTACTTTGAGCTCAATTTCAAGCTATTTTCAGTACTAAAACAATCAAAATCATCTCTATTTCTGTAATATAGCTTCTATTCTCCATGGGGAGGTGGAACAGAATTCTTCCTCCGTAAGCCATGCGTATCATAAGAGGCAACTCACATGCTGGGAGGAAGGGGATAGTACCCCCTACTCCTGTATACATTACTAAAGTTAAAAAGAGAAACTTTTGTTTTCCTTTTTGGGTCACCCTGCCTCAGTGGGATATGGCCAGTTTGTTGTATGAAGAAGATCTTCCATTCTATCAAATGAGACTAAGAAACAGTGAATACCACAAAAACCAACAAAAATACACCACAAAGTCGCTGCTGTAATCCAAAAACATGGTCACAGTTTTTTTTTCATTATGCACTGCGAGCTGCAGGATTTGTTTTATGTGGTGCACACTTACCACACAGACCTATTCTCTCATATCTAGGCCAAATTTACCACTCACAGCTTAACTGAGTGAGCTGAGCTCATGGTGTAGAACTACAGCTTGGACCCAGGCTTCGAGGCCGTAGAACTACGGGACAGACCCTCAAAGGGTTAAGTTACAAACAAATCTGTGACTTGATAAATCTAACTATGTGGTCAAAATATTATCAATACAGGCTCCATATAATTACAGTGGCATCTCTTTATCAAAACATAACAAAAGAGCAATACAGCAGGCCCACTGGCCCATGCTAGGCAAGTCCTGCTCACATCCAATCATGTGCCTGTCTAATCTTTTTTGAAGCAACCTAAAGTATTGCACTTACTTCAGGAATGGTAGTTGGAATGTAGTGTATGCCAATCATCCACAACTCTACTAATAAATCACCATTTTCCTATATCCTTTTCTCAATCCTGACTCTGAATTAGAAATATACAAGCCACAAGTGGCAAAATGTCTCCTTCAATAAATGCCTTTATTGTGCATGTGTCACCCCCAAAACCTGAGGTAGATGTAGGGGACGTCAGTCTAAATGTTGGAAGAAGAGAGCAAGTTATTGACAGGTTAGAGGTTTGAATATACAGCAGACATAGACTGGAGCTTGTGTTGGAGGGGAATCTTTGGGATTTGAAGAACTGCTGAAGTATGAGCATGGTAATATCTATGATGGGAACCTGGGAAACCAATCAGCTGGACTACTATTGGAGGTAAAAAGTTAAGTGTCAGCACTCTGAATGTCAGGTGGTGATGCTGTACAGTAGTTTGTGGCATCACTGAATTCTGATACCTGTGCCTTTGTGGAAAATCAGTCAAACACAAGTGATGATGAATAAGTTTCACTAGGATTCTTCCAACATGTTTTTAACTATTTTCTCAAAGATTCTGAGTTTTCTTAGCAAACATTATTTGAGACCATACAGTACCCTTACATAAAGGAAAAATTCTTACCTCTGTTATTTTTGTTGGTTCCTCTCCAACTTCCTCCTTGATCTGTTCCCCTGCCTCCTCTTCCTCTCCATCCTCCTCTTCCTCTCCATCCTCCTCTTCCTCTCCATTCTCCTCTTCCTCTCCAGTTTCCTCTTCCCCTCCATCCCCTGCCAGAGCCGCCTCCCCCATGGGTGTTAGTCGACATGAAGTAGTTAACCGTTCATCAGTTACCCTTGGTCAATAAAATACAATTAAACACATATACTGTACATTATTTTTAAGCAAAATATTTTTTGCCATATATATTGTGTTGTACTACTCACATTATTCTATATTTTGTGGAGAGTCCCAGGGTAAGCAACTACTACATTGACTGTATGAAATACAATGACACACTGAGTGTCCGTGGTTCAATCCCCAGCATGGGTTGAAACATTAGCAGAATTCTTTACACCTGGTGTCCCTGTTCACCTAGCAGTAAGTAGGTACCTTACACCTGCTGTTACTGTTCACCCAGCAATTAGTAAGCTACCTTACACCTGGTGTCCCTGTTCACCTGGCAGTAAGTAGGTACTGTACACCTGGTGTCCCTGTTCACCTAGCAGTAAGTAGGTACCTTACACCTGCTGTTACTGTTCACACCAGCAGTTAGTAGGTACCTTACACCTGGTGTCCCTGTTCACCTGGCAGTAAGTAGGTACCTTACACCTGGTGTCCCTGTTCACCTGGCAGTAAGTAGGTACCTTACACCTGGTGTCCCTGTTCACCTAGCAGTAAGTAGGTACCTTACACCTGGTGCCCCTGTTCACCTGGCGGGTAAGTAGGTACTTACACCTGGTGTCCCTGTTCACCCTGGCAGAAAAGTAGGTACCTTACACCTGGTGTCCCTGTTCACCTGGCAGTAAGTAGGTACTGTACACCTGGTGACCCTGTTCACCTGGCAGTAAGTAGGTACTGTACACCTAGTGACCCTGTTCACCTGGCAGTAAGTAGGTACCTGGGTGTTAGTCACCTGGTAAACACAATTCCTAATATAGCTATTGCCTATTAAATAAGATGAGATTTTCTTCGGATTTTTAACCCCGGAGGGTTAGCCACCCAGGATAACCCAAGAAAGTCAGTGCGTCATCGAGGACTGTCTAACTTATTTCCATTGGGGTCCTTAATCTTGTCCCCCAGGATGCGACCCACACCAGTCGACTAACACCCAGGTACCTATTTGCTGCTAGGTGAACAGGACAAGCAGGGGTAAGGAAACGTGTCGAAATGTTTCCACCCGCCGGGAATCGAACCCGGGCCCTCCGTGTGTGAAGCGGGAGCTTTAGCCACCAGGCCACCGGGCCTTATGTTAGTCTTACTAAATCTTAAGTTAATCTTAAGTTTGTCAAAATTTGTCTAAGTTTGTCTAAGATACCCAGTATGGCTTTAAAAAAAACAATATTCAGTAAGACAATTGATTCCCATTACTAATCTGGCCTTTATATATTAAATGATCTGACCCTATCTTAAACCTAATTATGTACGACCTAACTGATAATGTTTCCTATTTAAGTACTAATGATATGTTCAAATGTAATGCTCGATATAGTGGTCATTTTTCTACTTAAAATCTTTACAATATGTAACCACCACTATATTTTTATTATTATTTAAAACCAGGGGAGCGCTAAAACCGTAGGATTATGCAGCGCCTGTGTGGGGGGGGGTGGAAGGATCAGGTTAATTCGGGAAAATGGAGCACAGATTCAATGCCCTTTGATCAAGAACCCCTCACCAACATCAAGGAACCTTTTTGGGGACCACACATTTTAAATTTAATAAAAGAAAATAACTATTTTGTATTGGTGTGGGTTGCATCCTGGGGGGGGCAAAATGGCCACAATACAAATAAATCACTTTGACATTTTTTTTTTTACTTTGTCTGACTTTTTTCGCGTTATCCCAAAGTACTCTCACACTGTTACTAGGTAGGACACTGTACTTAGGGTACCTGTACCTAAATAAACTAATTACCGACAAGAGGCAGTGAGCAGTGTGGTGAAGGTAAACAAACTTTGGGGGGGCAGTTTTCTTCAGTAAATCCTCACAATCCGGATTAAATCCGGCGCTAGAAAAAATTACTGCATTTCTTGATCAACCTTTGCAGTTTTAAATTTTTATTATTATTATTATTATTATTATTATTATTATTATTATTATTATTATTGTTATTGTTATTATTATTTATTATTATTATTATTATTATTATATATTATTATTTAATTATTATTATTATTATTATTATTATTTTATTATTATATTATTATTGTTGTTATTGTTATTATTATTATATTTTATTATTTATTATTATTATTAAAATTTTGCTGCTGTTATTGTTATATTTAAAAATAATAATGCCATTTTATTTATTTTATGCTGTACAAAATAATGTAGTTTACATATAAAACATGTTAGGCACAAAAAAAGACAGTAGTACATTCTGGACAAACTAATCCTTAAGATTTAAACATAAACTATTAAGTAGTATTTCTTATGCAGTTAACTACAGTTAAATACAAAATCTCAATGTACTGTTTGCATAGACATAAAATATATTAATAAATAAATAAATAAACTATAATCATATGTATGATAAGAAAGGATAATGAGAACCTTCAAAATTAGGAATGCCAAGCCCATGATGATGGGCTTGAAGATGACAAATTATGCAGTATCACAATCACTAGCCCGGTGACCTGGTGGCTAAAGCTCCCGCTTCACACACGGAGGGCTCGGGTTCGATTCCCGGCGGGTGGAAACATTCAACACGTTTCCTTACACCTATTGTCCTGTTCACCTAGCAGCAAATAGGTACCTGGGTGTTAGTCGACTGGTGTGGGTCGCATCCTGGGGGACAAGATTAAGGACCCCAGTGGAAATAAGTTAGTCCTCGATGACGCACTGACTTTCTTGGGTTATCCTGGGTGGCTAACCCTCCGGGGTTAAAAATCCGAACGAAATCTTATCTCTCTTCAGATCACTTGTCCTCTCTAGGCTGGAACACTGCTGTACACTAACTGCCCTCTTCAAGGCAGGTTAAATTGTTGACCTGGAGGATGTATAAAGAACTTCCACGGCACACATAAGTGCAATAAGGCACCTAAATTACTGGGAACACTTGAAGGAACTTGATTTGTATTCCCTGGAATGCAGGCGAGAGAGATACATAATAATATATATACATTGGAAAATCCTTGAGACACTAATACCAAACTTGCACACAAAATTCACTCCCTATGAAAGCAAAAGACTTGGTGGGAGATGCAACATTCCCCAGTGAAATGCGGGGTTGCCACGAGTACATGAGAAAAAAACAAAATAAGTGTCAGGGGCCCAAGCCTTCAACTGCATCCCAGCACAACGTAAGAGTGATTACTAATAGACCCCTGGCTGCCTTTATGAAGGGCTGGATAGACACCTACAGTCAGTACCTGATCATCCAGGCTCGGGTTCGTACTGTTATTTTACGTGTGGCCAGCATTTAACAGCCGGGTTGATCAACCCCACCATGAGGCCTGGTCACAGACCGGGCCACAGGGGCTTTGCCCTCCGGAAACTCCTCCAGGTACACACTGACTATAAAAAACCCCATCACAAACAGGGTTGTCCTTGTTAATGGGTCTCATGTATGCTGTAAAAGAGGGTGTCATATGGGTGGTCTGCATGGAAGGAAGTCTAAGGTAAACTAAGGGCTGATGCCTAGGGAATGTGAAGAGGATGTGGATCCCAGACAGAGGGATACAAAATAGGGAGAAGTTGCAAAGAGTTGGTATAAAAGTGAACAATTATAGGAACAGTTTCATATGATACATTCAAAAAAGCAATTACAAGATTTCCCATAGGAAGAGTGTCATAAAGCAACCTTGTCATATTTGAGATTACGTGGGGAAGAATCCAGATCCACAGAGGGGTAGAGAAGAGCACAAGGATGCCACTGCTGCATCAATCAATTCAATCTTTAGGGAAAGAAAATGAATTTTGGGGAGAGAAACAGACCTTTGAACTGAGTTAGGAGAGAACCAAAGAACCATGAAAATACAGTGTACTGGGAGGTTGAGGAGGAGGAAAGAGTAATGGAGACAGGGATGTAACTAGACAACAGGGCAGATGGAAAAAGGAAGGAAAGTACCAAGGAGGAGAAAGAGGAGTAAAAAGACAGTGGGACCAGAGAGAGGGAGATGGTGAATAAAGGGATAGTTGAGAAACAGAAGACCAACAATGAACCTCCACCTCCATCACCCTATGTAGAGCAGGAGCCCACATGGAGGCTGAACAGGTTGCAGGGGGAGAGTAGAATGAATTGGGGAGGGAAGCATCAGAGAAAAGAAAAGGGCAGAGGAGTAGGAATCTGGGCAGACAGCAGCTCAAACCAGTTGTGTGTTTATGGAAGGAGAGCATGAGAGTGGCATCAAGGGTAACGTGAGCAAGGGTATTCCCAGTTTTAAATGTGCCAATATAGCCAAGATGAGAGAGCTTCACCATTGGACATGTCCCTTCTCTCTTAATATGTAGGTTTTGTTTTTCCTTAATGTAACTGAGCATGAATGGAAGTAGGAGGGATGGGCCCACAACAACTCAGTTATTGAGGGTTAGACCATTTACAAGAAAAAATCATTATGAGTGAGACTGGTTTTATTTAATAAAAAAGAAGCGTTAAAAAACAAGGGTTATATTAGTGGAGTGAGACTGGAGCAGACAGGATATCTGACTTACAAACAGCAGGAAAACAGGGTAAAAAGAAATTTTCCCGAATGACAGGGAATGATTAGCAAGATAATATATAGTTAGAAGGGAGCCGACAGTCTGAGCTTACTGTATGAAGGATGGCCCCAGGTACAGCATGCACAGCAAGCAAAAACTGAAGTTCAGGTTCTTTATATGCTATTTGTACCTTCTAAAAAAGGATAACTTTTATGAAGGGATTTGGGGGAAACCAGTTAACCAGACTTGGTGAGCTGGTAGACAGTTCATGTGTTGAAGGCCAGCCTTTCCCACAATGAATACTATGACAGTCATGATGTCCGTAAAATTTGGAACAGAAGGGCATCCTGGGCTAATGCAAAGGGAAAGAAATCTAATGCCCCACCATGGAAAATTATTTTTACATTAAATGGGGTGGGTAATGCAATACCATAGGAATCATACAGTGGAGGAATGGGATGATTCAAGTTTGATCCAAGGAAAGGGAACAGG